TCAACTTGCATTCCAGACGTTAAAAGACAACTTGTTAACTGTATTAAGATTACCAAACAACAAGGATTATTTCATTCTGGATACGGATGCTTCCCAAAATGCAATAGGTGCTGAATTCATTCAGGTGCAAAATGGTAGTTTTGAACTTACAGCAGAATACAAACGTTATTGTACAACTAGGAAGGAGTTCTTGGCGGTCATTAGATTTACTAGACAGTTTAGACACTACCTTCTGGGAAGGCAATTCACTGTGAGGACAGACCATAGTAGTTGACATAGCTTGTCAATTTCAAAGAGCCCCAGGGACAGCTGGCTAGATGGTTGGAGGAGCTCAGCCAATATGACCTTGTTATAAAGCACAGACCAGGAAAACAACACATTGATGATGATGTCTAGTCCCGTCTTCCGGATAGTTTTAAAGAATGCCCACATTATACTGCAGACACCATACAAGCAAGTTTACCTTGCAAGGGCTGTAATTACTGCAAGAGTGCACATCAAAGTTAGGCACAGTTTTTATGTGATGTAGATTAGACAGTCCCACTGGCTAGAAAAAGGAAACAGAAGCCTTAAATACAGTGAAATTTCTCAAAACCGGTCGCCCGTCGGACCATGAAAAACGGCCGGTTTGCGGGGGTGGACGGTTTGTTGAAAATTTAAATCACCAAAAGTTACTTCCCTTTAATATGGGTGTTTGAGTATATGTGAAATTGTATTTTACCTTAATCAAAACATATGTTTTCCTTTGTGAATTTTAGTTTTGTGTGTTATATGTATCATAAAATACAGTTACAACTTCTATTTCATCATTTTATTTTTTTATTTTGCAGGAATAATAAATGAAAATACCATACATAAATGATATTTCATTTATAATTTATTAAAATGTTCTACATTTAGACATCACTATTTCTGCAGTAAATAAAATATTTGAATTTAATGTCAATTGTCTATCTAAATATAATTATATAATATGATTAGATTGGGTATTGAAACAAAATTGATACGTGAACAGTAATCAGTCACCTTGCAGGTGTCCTGATTGACCGTATTATCTTTTGTTTACATAACAATGTAATGTACGGATCAGTGATTTCAGATGACAAGGCCGGTTTTATGAGATTACATTTTATTGATTTTGATTAACTAAATACAAAAATACCGGCCGGTATCTGTTTTACAGGGGTGGCCGGTTTTATAAGGTTACATGTCCATTTGAGTGAATTCAAATCGGCCGGGACTTCGTGATTTGGCCGGTATGAGGGGAGAACCGGTATTCGGAGGGACCGGTTTAGAGAAGTTTCACTGTAATTTAAAGGGTAGCAACAGCAATGATGCTCTTATTTAAAACACCAGAAAAAGATTCAACCTTGGAACAATCAGTCCTACAACCTGTAATACCAGTTCTGCCCTCCGTTATTGAAGATTGCTTCCACACCAATACCCTGGACTCAATGGAGCAAGTTGACAACCAGTTGACCCCGGAGTGTGATTTAATACCGTTCAGTACGGGTATGGAATTGATTTTTACTCCTTCAACAGCAAGAATTATAGTTGACAGTCCTAATTATTGCTATGTGGCAACGACCACACAAGAAGAGGGAATAACCAATTGGGTTTAAGTGAAGAGGCAATTAAAACGCAACAGGAGAGTGATCCAGACCTGAAATTTATCCTACCATGGATAAAAGATGGCAGTGAATCTCTGAACAATGACTTGTGCTTGGCATCACCAGCAGCCAAGAGTCACTGGACTAATAAACAAATGTTTTTCATGGACGATAATCATGGTAATGGTGTTTTAAAGAGTCAACCCAAGACGGAGGGAGCCAATACAAGGCTAGTTGTACCTGCTACCTTAAGGGAGGCAGTAATGGAGCTTAGTCATGAACTGCCGAGCGCAGGACACCAAGGTGTATCAAGGACAATGTCCAAAATAAAGGACAAATATCACTAATATGATATGACCAAGGACATCAACTCGTTTGTACTCAGTTGTGATACTGCAACACGAACAAGAAAGCAAGCAGATATGGTAAGTGTCATCTGACCAAGTACCATGTTGGGTACCCTATGGAGAGAGTCCACATCGATTTAATGGTCCCTTTGCCAAAGACGAAACAAAACATGGAACATATCTTAATGATGACAGATCAGTGCACTGAGTGGACAGAATGCATTCCACTCCCGTCACAAACAGCTGAAGTGACCGCTCAGGCTGCTATCAATGAGTTTTTCACCAGATTCGGTTACCCGTTCCAGTTATTCTCAAATCAGGGACGTAATTTTGAGAGCGCACTCTATAAAGCAGTATGTGAATTGCTGCAAATTTATAAGGCTCGAACAACACCATATCGTCTTCAGTCAATTTGACAAGTGGAGAGACAGAACCGCAGTCTCATGAATGCGGTGAGATGCTTTGTGGACTCCCAACAAGACAATTTGGACCACCACCTTGCTCAACTAGAGGTAGCTATGAGGTCAAGTGTGAACAGGAATACAGGGTACACACCGAACAAGCCCATGTTAGGCAGAGAGAAAAATCAGCCAGCTGATCTTATGTTTGGCAGTCAGAGTGAAAAAAGGTATGAGCGTGCTGACGGTTCCATCATAGAGCTAGATAAAGCTATCAAAAGTGCACAAACTATAGCACGGGACAAACTTAAGACCTCTCAAGAAAAAATGAAGAGGGACTACGATATCCGAGTGTTGGAGAAGTCATACCAGCCGGGAGACCTTGTATATGTTTTTGACACAGCCCAGATCAAGGGTAAAAGCAAGAAATTGGGGTCACCATAGAAGGGGTATCATTATTGGTTAGGTTACTGTTTATGTTTAGAAAGTTAAACTCCAAAGAGTGGTTTTTAATACTAATCATGACAGGCTGAAGCCATGTGGGGACAGAAAAATTCCGGCTTGGTTGGAGACATGTAGGGACCAATTCAAAAAGGGTGAGGATGTTTTGGCAAATAATAAAACCAAACCTACTAGTCCACAGTACTCTGTGTGTCGTGGCCTGGACACAGGGGAGACTATGGTACAATGCAATACCTGCATGAAGTGGTTTCACCTGACTTGTTTAGGCATCGGTACGGGAGACCAATGAGATAGACCCTTATATCTGTCCCAATTGCCCAATTGTTTGCATAACTCCACCCTCCACAGACAAAGTAGGGGAGATGATAGGTAAATTATCAAGTCATCAAATTGTATTTTTTTTATATTTTTTAGAATGTCAGATTCATCAAAGTCCGTTAAGTCATGCTCAGACGAGAGTAGCGATGAGGAGACAAAATCATGGAGGCCAAGTAGTGCAAACTCCCAGCCGGGAGTGGGCATCAAGCCATTTAACACCTCGGTGCTGGATGGAAGCAACTCAAGAAGAGTAGTCTGGAAGAAGAACCTGCCCAGGCAGACGAGGAAGTATCGCTGGAGGTACCAGCGGTACCAGCGGTAAGTCTGCATGGGGTAGAGGAGGTACCTGTTGTGGTGCAGGACACTGTGGGGGGAGCACCAGCAGCTCAGGAGGAGGAGCAGTCAGCTCCGGTGGCAGCCAACTCTGGTCCAGAGGATCCCATGGCTTTTAAACGAGAGATACCAGAAGCTTAGAAGGGGAAAGAGAACCAGGACTGGACGGGACCCTACAGTGGGTACAAGGAGCGAACCTGTGAGTGACCGAGATGTAGCCTGTCCTGGCCAGGTGGTTGACTGGACGGGAAGACATCACCTCAGCTGTGTTTGTACAGTGGCTTCAGCAGCGAGCGGGGATTCCTAGGGGATGCAGGATACAATGACCCGATATGCCTCTACTACGGACAGTGTGCTCTACCATGAAATGGCCGCAACTCAGTGTCTATTCACTGCATCCAGTTCTGTTCTACGTCACCTGAACCATGCCAACATGGCTTGTGACCGCGGAAGAGTACCGGGGAAGCAACGGCCCATCGTATGATGTAGTGTGCCAAATGAACTGGAGGTTCATCCAGCGTGCAGAGCCCGTCGTGGCTCAGTCAAGACAAACCGCTCCAGTGGTCCAGCCAAGCATTCCAGTGGTCCTGCCAAGTGTACCAATGGTTCTGCCAAGCGTACCAGTTGTCCAGCCTGCCGTGCAGGAGGAAAAGCCAAAGTCGACGGGAAGGGTTATTCCACAAGTGGAGGAGCCAGTGGCAGTGGCAGCACCCACCGCCAGAGAATCTCTAGTGGTTCTGGTTTACCACAGTGCAGAGTGCCATAGAGAGGGCCCGTGATCTCTTTGGCTTGGAAGAGGAGGAGGTAGTGCTGACCTACCAAGGAGCAGAGGTCACCAGAAATGTGAAATTGGAACTGTTGCCTGCAGTAGCAGAACTCGGTTTTTATGGTCATGGTTTTCCCTTTTTTTATGCTGGAACAGGTGCTTTTCTGTTAAATATGGGTTTTTTTCTTAGTAGTAACAGTAGTACTTAACATAGATTAATTGGAAATTCAAGGGGAGATTAATGAACTGGCAGTTATATCTATGTATATATATTGATTATTGGAAGTATCTTTTGTTTTATGTGTTTGTGATAAATTGTTATATGCAATCAATAATTAGGACGATTCTAGGTTGGACAACGCAATGTTTATCCATTAACTTACTGGACTCAGTTCTTAGCAAGAACCGTGAGCTATCGTCTCGTTGTGAGATGTTTCCAGGTCTAGGTCTTGAGGGTTTGCTTGCACCTATGGTCGGTGCGGAGTTGTAGCTCAGGTTTATATTGGCTAAGTGTTATGAAAAATGGGTGAATCAGAATTTTTTTAAATGTTTTTGAGGATAGTTGTCCAGTTGCCCATTCGTAGGTTATGTTAAATGATTAAGGGTTTTGATTGTTAATAAGAAAAGGGGCGTCTTCAGTTGTCATGCTTTTGTCGGAACTTGCAGTTCCTCCTTTTTAGGAAGGAGGGGGTGTTGGTTCTCCCAGCTAGGAGCAGACAACCGACACCAGTAGGCCTATTGACGGATGAAGCTGAGGACGGAGTCTGCGCACGCCTGCAGCGCCCTCTTGTGTATGATCATCGTGTGCAAGACATACTGCGAAAACACAGTTTACTACGCCCGAATTAAGAGGTAATATTATAGTGTACAGCCTTACACCTGTATACATCTTTAGTCTAGGTCGGGTCCCTTCAGGGAAAAATAGTCCTTCCCGAGACTAACACCAAATTATTACTAAACGAAAGTGAAAGTAGGAAATCCAACAATATTTCCTACTGCGCAGTAAATTGTAAAGGTGTACAAGTAGCCACAGGTAAGTTGACATTTTTTTAAGTATATTTGGATGCGTTGACAGCATCTTCACACTAGGGAATGATGGGGTATTGTTTTCAAGTCAAAATTGTTACTTTTTTGCAAAGTTGTACTTCTTTTAGATACGTGAGAGTTTGCCTTAAATGGAATACTGACAACAATGATTTTGTTTTCGATTTACATGTATAACATAAAGTAACTTATGTATATAACTATATATAGTATGTTACAAATCAACATCTTTAGGCGATAACTTTGAACTGTTTGTTATACTATCTTTATATAAAGTATATGTAATGATTTGTTGATAAGGTTCAATTAGTAAACATATATTCAGCGAGTTACTCTATAAATAGAATATAATTTTCTCATTTGCAAATCAGTACCTAGTAGATAATATTGATCAAAAAAGAATTATAGGTAAACTGCACCGATTTGATAAATGTTGTCCTCGGTTTATCAGCGTCAATGAAGGGATATATAAATTAAATTGGTCAACATAACAACGATTATATTACGAAATTATCATTCTTTTAAATATGGATTTATTTTGCTTGATATCAAACCGAAATTCGAAACTATTATCGTATAAACAAAAAAGTACTAAACACATTTTAACAGTATAATGTATGGTGTACAGTTGAAACAATTTGAAACAAAATGCAGAATAGTTTTTAAAATTCCTGGCTGATGCATCACGACGTGGGGCAAGAATCACTATCCTTTTTGGATTCTTGAGATCAACAACTGGTTTTGAGTTCGTTTATATCGATCTTTTATTTTATGTGAAGCGTACGAAACGCAGTTTTCGTTAGTTGTTGTTGGTCATTGTAATGTCGGTCGATACCCGACGTAGCAAAATAAAATATATTTTTAAATTCCCGAAGTATGTCAAATTTTTTTATTAACGATTTTTGTGTAATTCAATGTGTCCATTGATTTATTTAAACATTGTTTAAAAAAAAACTTCCATGATATGACATTACACAAAAACCTAAACACGAACAAACTTATAACGCATCAGGTGACATGATCCAGTGTGAACAACTACTGTTTCTGGAAAAAACCTTTCCTACACAGGTAAAATAGCTACGGACGTAAAACGTCCGTTTATTTCCAATCCGTATAACGTCCGTTTTTCCCCATCCGTATAACGTCCGTATTCACCCTGGTAACGCGTCTGTCATACAGATTGTTAAATTATGTCTATTTTACGGACTTAAGAATAATAGTGAATTAGCTCAGTATAGCATGAGACACAAATATAAGTATACACATAGTATTTCAATTTTAGTAATTCTTTTAGACAAAGAGAGAGCCCTAAAATATGTTTAATTGTGTTTCTTCTCACTCTGTTGTTCCCATACAACCTTGTCCAGATGAAGACTGTTTTATCTCCTCACCATGGTTTTTTTAATAATGAATGAAAAGGTGTATTACTACATGAAGGTGTTATGCATATTACCATGATAATCACCCGACCTTGACCTCTGACCTTCATGTAAATAGTGTTGATATTCATAAAAGGAAAGAACCTATTTTTATACGACCGCAAAAAAAGTTTTTGTGGTCCGTATATTGGTATCACGTCGTCGTCGTCGTCGTCGTCGTCCGAAGACATTTGGTTTTCGCACAATAACTTTAGTATAAGTAAATAGAAATCTATGAAATTTAAACACAAAGTTTATGACCACAAAAGGAAGGTTGGGATTGATTTTGGGAGTTTTGGTCCAAACAGTTTAGGAATTAGGGGCCAAAAAGGGGCCCAAATAAGCATTTTTCTTGGTTTTCGCACAATAACTTTAGTAATAGTATAAGTAAATAGAAATCTATGAAATTTAAACACAAGGTTTATGACCACAAAAGGAAGGTTGGGATTGATTTTAGGAGTTTTGGTCCCAACTGTTTAGGAATTAGGGGCCAAAAGGGTCCAAAATTAAACTTTGTTTGATTTCCTCAAAAATTGAATTATTGGGTTCTTTGATATGCAGAATCTAACCGTGTATTTAGATTCTTAATTTTTGGTCCCGTTTTCAAATTGGTCTACATTAAGGTCCAAAGGGTCCAAAATTAAACTTAGTTTGATTTTAACAAAAATTGAATTATTGGGGTTCTTTGATATGCTGAATCTAAACATGTACTTAGATTTTTGATTATGGGCCCAGTTTTCAAGTTGGTCCAAATCGGGGTCCAAAATTAAACTTTGTTTGATTTCAACACAAATTGAATATATGGGAATCTTTGATATGCTGAATCTAACCATGTATTTAGATTTTTGATATTTAGGCCCCGTTATCAAATTGGTCCACATTGAGGTCGAAAGGGTCCAAAATTGAACTTTATTTGATTTCTTCAAAAATTGAATGCTTGGGGTTTTTTTGATATGCTGAATCTAACCATGTATTTAGATTTTGGATATTGGACCATAATAAGTAAATGTTCAATTTAAAATTTTTAAGTTCTTAGACCACATTCATTCTGTGATAGAAACCTATCCTGTGTCAACTATTTAATCACAATCCAAATTCAGAGCTGTATCAAGCTCGAATGTTGTGTCCATACTTGCCCAACTGTTCAGGGTTCGACCTCTGCGGTCGTATCAAGCTGTGCCCTGCGGAGCATCTGGTTGTTGTTAAATTTAGACAGTAATTGTGATTAAAAACTCAGTTTTTGTTGAACAAATCTGTCAGAAGCATCTTCTTGAGCTTATATTTCATTTTCAAAAAGTTGAGATATTGGTGTCAAATGCTACTCAAAATTGTTTTAGTATTAATATGTCAAAATCATTTTATTCTATTAAAAGAAGGGGAGGGAATTAAGTGAAATATAAGATATTTATAGTTACAATATTATTCAAATTTACAACGAAAAAAAAATATTTTTGTTAAGTTGCAGGTAAAAGTAACGGACATTTTTAATTTTTGTAAACAATCAAAGAAAAATTTAAAATATTTTATGATGGTTGGATTTAAAAAAAAAATGATGTATATATGTATTACATGCTATTCAAGAAAGTTTCCAGGTCCCAAATGTAACTTTGTAAAATGTCTTCTTATGTTAGGACTTGAAAAAAATGATATACACGTGTAATAAATAATTTGTTTTAAAGTGATCGGATGTATCAAATATGCATACATGTTAGTATTTTGAATACAAGAAGTTAATGTCAACACTTCATTTAACAAAATAGACAATTTTAAAATTTAGAATACACTATGAAATATACTTAGCAATTTTTATAATACAAAGTCTACCAACAAGATCTTTCTATAGCACCAATTAAAACTTATTCTCATTTCTCATTAATTAGTCTTTGCTGGCAATGTAATACAAAAATATTTTTTTTTTATTTTCTTTTTTTGCATGAATCAAAAGGCCAGTTAACCCTTCCACATATTCATTTTAACTGTCATAGCCAAGAAACATAGTACGTGGTTGTTTGACAATTTTGTCATATTCAATTTTGAGTATTTGTTGTTGACAGCTCGTCTGGTTGTGTCTGTTTAATCTTTTAAAACTTGTATAGACTTGTGAGATATACGAGATAGACACATGTCAATTGTCAAAGACAAAAATATATAACCCTTTATATGTTGTTTGTTTTTTGTTGTTTTTTTTTGTCATTGGGTTGCTGTCTCAACTATGTAAATCTTTCCGTTGCGTAATGTAGATATTTACATATACAAAGTACATGTCTATGTTCATACACTCATAATAGATACCAGGATTGATTTATTTTTATTTGCGCCAGACGTGCGTTTCGTCTACAAAAGAATCATCAGTGACGCTCGAATCCAAAAAAAGTTTACTTATTAATGTGATATGTATCAAATCTAAGTACACTTTACGTGTATTTCTTGATTGTACAATATTTACAATATGTGATACACGTATAGAAATACTCTGAAAAACACTTGTGAAGATCATGCGAGTTCGCTCGATGTATATATGACATTTTTTGTTCATAGATACATCATGCAGACACCTTTAATACAAGACAGCAAACCAATTACACAAACACGAATAAGACAGGTTCATTATAATTTGCAGGACAGTATATCCTTAATTGAGGACGGAATGTCAAAAACATAAACCTTTATTTTAAATAAAATCGTGATATTTTCTTTTAAATCTTTTTTTTTACGTTAATATATCAATTTCTTAAATTTAAAGTGAAAGAAATTTAAAAGGCAAATATTTTACAAGGTTTTTTTTAATGAAAATAAAACATGTGTTTTTACAGCCGTAATACGGACGTTTTAGAAAACGTCCGTATTACGGCTGTAAAAACACATGTTTTATTTTCATTAAACGTATGTGTTAGAACGTCCGTAATACGTAAGATCCGTTTTACGGACGTGGTACTATTTTTCCGTAAAACGTCCGTTATACGGATGTTTTACGGACGTATTTCAAAACGTCCGTAAAACGTCCGTAGCTATTTTACCTGTGTAGGTATGTCAAAGACCAAACTTCACAAATAAAGTCAATGTTGAATGAAATATTATGGAGACTGCTCATTCCTCTCTAACAAAAGAGAGAAAGAAGCAGCACTTAAACAGTAAAAAGATTGTTTTTTTGCTTTTGTACACCCATATTTTTATGAAATATGAAATGGAAATACTCTATCAAATAAATTCATTACAGTTAATAAGAGCAAAACGTGGTGATCTGCAAACATCCCCCAGTCAGGTTAATGATTTGTGTTTAAAACTCACAAATCGGAGCTAAGAACAGTGCAGAAAAGCGCATACTGTGCAATGCCGAGAGAGAAAAAAGTAAGTTGATACTTATTATCAAATATCCATACCAATATGATACCACTAGGTTAGTTTGCAAAGACAGATGATTAAACCGTCTTTAAATAGGTTGGTCATAAGATGAATATTTTGAAGATCTGTAAGTTGTAAGTATAAAACAAGTTTTCTTTATAATTATAAAGACTAATTCCATGATAGTTTAAGTAATTGAATAGAAATACATTTCGTTTTCAATTTTATTCGCAATACCGTAATCGGTAATACTCCACATAATCAAGACAAATAGCCGTAAATTGATTTAAACCGAAAAATGGGCGAAAGATACGAAAGAGACATTCAAATGCTAAATTCGAATACAAAATGACAACGCCATGGAACAAAAGGAACAACGACAAAATGACAAACAAAAGGAAAGGGTAAGCAGTTCCTGCTCCACATGTGGTACCCGTTGTGTTAATGAGCACAAGTGGTTCACATAGAACATGTAGAAATACCGATTATTTGTTAAAACATGTTATCCAGACGTAACCAATATTTTGTCAATCAAAAAATCACCTTGATAATATCATGCTCAGAGAACTGCGTGTTCGAATCAGAGGATTTTAAACAAAGTCTACCCTGATTTATACCTACAAAAAAAAATGTTAAACCAATTCTTTGAATCTGTCTTTAAGTTATGATGAGAAATGCTAGTGTAAAGGTTAGAAAAGATGTAAACTCTTGCAGTAATATAAACGGTACCAAGTGTACTGCACCAGATGCGCATTTCGTTAATTAATGTATCTCTAGTGATGCTCGAGGATAAATATGTAAAAATACAACACCTCATTCAACTATTGATGAACTGATCAACCAAAATGACCTTAAGTATAGCCGAAACCCTACAAGGAATCAGAGCTTTGCATGTAGGCGATATGTTTCTAAATTTAAAATGATTTCGAAAATCCAAAACAGTTCATTTCAATCAAAACATTATCCATATTTTTATTACCGAACCGAAGTACTAGCTACTAAGCTGGTGATACCATCGGGGACTAACCGTCCACCAGCAGGAGATTCGACTCAGTGGTAGGAATAATATAAACACAAAAACTTTAATCTAACACATATGTTGAAGAGTTGATCAACCACAATGTATAGCCTAAACTGGACAAAGAATCAAAGCTCTGCATGAGGGAGATTTATTCCTTAATATAAAATTATTTCGAAAATTTTGTAACAGTAAATGTCAATCAAAACAATATCCGTATTTTAATGCCAGAACCGAAGTACTAGCTACTAAGCTGGTGATACCTTTGGGGACTAATAGTCTATCAGCAGACGTATCGATACAGTGGAAGTGATAATATAAACGGTACCAGTTTTACTGCACCAGATGCGCATTTCGACAATTTATGTCTCTTCAGTGATGCTCAAGGCCAAAATATTTGAAAATCCAAAACCTAACACAAACTTTGTGGGTTTATCAACCAAAAGGACCTAATGTATAGCAAACACCGGACAAGGAATCAGAGCTTTGCATGACGGAGATATATTTCCTTTATTCAAATGATTTCGAAAATGCTATAACAGTTTATTTCAGTCAAAATTTCCCTATTTTAATGCCAGTACTCAGGGACTAACAGTTTACGAGGGAAGAGCCTCAGATTGTATATATACGTTAACCTACTTTGAAATTGTTTAGTATCCAAAGTCTTATTGCACTGCCCTACAGTAGGTGGTTTCACAGTAAATCAAACGTTCGGCTTTGATTACAGATAACATTGATGTTAAAAGAATGTGGAGCAGGAGAAAGATCGAGCAATATAACGTTTTTTGTAAGAACAGTTATATTTAATATGTATATTCATAACGGGTAGAAAGATCAAATTCCTGTTCTTCGGTTAAATTCTAAAGGAAATAGAACAGATTTAAGATTTTCTGAATTTCCTCTTTGGTTAATATCGTGGGAGTTTTTCAAGTGAATTGTAGATGCATGCGAAACTTCGTTATCACTAGAATAGAGTTTAACACCGGGACAAAAGAGCAAAATAACAGCCTAAGGGCACCAGATGGTCTTTAACACACCGGGAAAATCCCGCACCCGTATTCGGGCTTTAGCTGGCCCCTAAATTATAATGCATACTAGTACAGCAATATGAACGCCAACCCCCATCCCCCCCCCCCAAAAAAAAAACACAAGACTAACAAAAGCTAGAGGTTCCCTACTTGGGACATGCGCAAAACTGCGGTGGTTTTTTTTTTGTGGAATCTCAACTCTGTCCCATACAGCTCTAGTCAATGTAGAATAAACAAACACAGAACAAAACGATTTTACGTAATTTGGTGAGCATTTTACGTAACGTTGTTTTCAGTACCAAACATTGTTCCTTGGGGCCTTACAGTGGGGACAATATCATATTTGTTATTAAGGAAGGACAGATGCCGAGCAACATTTGGTCTTTAAAGATAGACGTAGTTAGAGTATTTATATACCCATTCAGTGTTTCAGACTTTCTTTAAAATAAACTTTTCTTTACAGCATACAGTTAAGCCAATGGAGAAAAAAGGAAAATCTGATAAAGGAAAAGATGTAGAAATAATTGGATCAAAAAGGAAACTCAAAGTTAAGGTAAAATAAAAGGGTACATGACAGCGGAAAGGAGATTTGAGAATAATATATTACATAATAACATTTGATGAAATAAAAAGAAATTAAATGACATTATGTTTAGCTCACTTATTCATAGAACAATTTCTAGTACTAGTACATTTTTTGTAGAATGTCACTTAGAACACTGTGATAGAATATGTAGTTATTATATTTGTTTGTTGTGTATCCTACACGTCTCAAAAATGTGTCGTGCAAAAGGCCTAAATAGTAACATGTATGTGTGTTTTAAAGTGTGAACCCTTGTCTTCAGACTTGTGACATTCTGTGACACACAGCTTAGTACAGGCCATAATAAAGAAGCATGACATTTGAATAATTCAAATGAATTGCATCATAATAAATGAATTATGCTGCAATACATTTTGTATGTTCTTACAACTTAACCATGTTAACGTTGCATTGTTATATCTTCTGAATCTTTCAACGCAATGCTAGTATTTCAATTAGAATGGGAATATTTTGTATTAAACTGCATCATTCCATTACTTTTGTTTGGTACATGTATCAACGAAAAAATGAAAAAAAAAACCCTAAAACCCCTAACTCATAATTTAATGTCTCTTCAGTGATGCTCGAGTATATTTCTTTAATAAAAAAGATTTCGAAAATGCTATAACAGTTTATTTCGATAAAAAAATCCCTATTTTAATGCAAGTATTCAGTTTTTCAGACTTTAATATTCTTTAAAATACACTTTTTTCTTTACAGTATACAGTTAAGCCAATGGAGAAAAAAGGAAAATCAGATAAAGGAAAAGATGTAGAAAAAATTGGATCAAAAAGGAAACTCAAAGTTAAGGTAAAATAAAAGGGTACATGACAGCGGAAAGGAGATTTGAGAATAATATATTACATAATAACATTTGACGAAATAAAAAGAAATTAAATGTTATTATGTTTAGCTCACTTATTCATAGAACAATTTCTAGTACTAGTACATTTTTTGTAGAATGTCACTTAGAACACTGTGATAGAATATGTAGTTATTACATTTGTTTGTTGTGTATCCTACACGTCTTAAAAATGTGTCGTGCAAAAGGCCTAAATAGTAACATGTATGTGTGTTTTATAGTGTGAACCCTTGTCTTCAGACTTGTGAAATTCTGTGACACACAGCTTAGTACAAGCCATAATAAAGAAGCATAACATTTGAATAACTCAAATGAATTGCATCATAATAAATGAATTATGCTGCAATACATTTTGTATGTTCTTACAACTTAACCATGTCAACGTTGCATTGTTATATCTTCTGAATCTTTCAACGCAATGCTAGTATTTCAATTAGACTGGGATGATTTTGTATTAAACTGCATTATTTCATTACTTTTGTTTGGTACATGTATCAACGAAAAAATGAAAAAAAAACCTTAAACCCCTAACTCTTAATTTAATGTCTCTTCAGTGATGCTCGAGGCCAAAATATTTGAAAATCCAAAACCTAACACAACTTAATGGCTTATCAACCAAAAGGACCTAATGTATAACCAACACAGGACAAGGAATCAGAGCTTTGCATTAGGGAGATATCTTTCTTTAATTAAAATGATTTCGAAAATGCTATTACAGTTTATTTCGATAAAAAATTCCCTATTTTAATGCAATATTCAGTTTTTCAGACTTTAATCTTCTTTAAAATACACTTTTCTTTACAGTATACCGTTGAGACAATGGAGAAAAAAGAAAAATCTGAAAAAGGAAAAGATGTAGAAAAAATTGGATCAAAAAGGAAACTCAAAGTTAAGGTAAAATAAAAGAGTACATGACAGCGGAAAGGAGATTTGAGAATAATATATTATATATAACATTGACGAAATAAAAAGAAATTAAATGACATTATTTTTAGCTCACTAATGTCATTTAGAACACTGTGATCGAAAATGTAGTTATTACATTTGTTTGTTGTGTATCCTTCACGTCTTAATGTATGTGTGTTTTAAAGTGTGAACCCTTGTCTTCAGACTTGTGACATTCTGTGACACACAGCTTAGTACAAGCCATAATAAAGAAGCATAACATTTGAATAATTCAAATGAATTGCATCATAATAAATGAATTATGCTGCAATACATTTTGTATGTTCTTACAACTTAACCATGTCAACGTTGCATTGTTATATCTTCTGAATCGTTCAACGCAATGCTAGTATTTCAATTAGGATGGGATGATTTTGTATTAAACTGCATCATTCCATTACTTTTGTTTGGTACATGTATCAACGAAAAAATGCAGTTGAGCCAATGGAGAAAAAAGGAAAATCTGATAAAGGAAAAGATGTAGAAAAAATTGGATCAAAAAGGAAACTCAAAGTTAAGGTAAAATAAAAGGGTACATGACAGGGGAAAGGAGATTTGAGAATAATATATTACATATAACATTTGACGAAATAAAAAGAAATTAAATGACATTATTTTTAGCTCACTTATTCATTTAACAATTTCTAGTACTAGTACATCTTTTGTAGAATGTCATTAAGAACACTGTGATAGAATATGTAGTTATTACATTTATTTGTTGTGTATCCTACACGTCTTTAAAATGTGTCTGCAATACATTTTGTATGTTCTTACAACTTAACGTTACATTGTTATATCTTCTGAATCTTTCAACGCAATGCTAGTATTTCAATTAGAATGGGATGATTTTGTAATAAACTGCATCATTCTATTACTTTTGTTTGGTACATGTATCAACGAAAAAAAAAAATGAAAAAAAACCCCAAAACCCCTTAACTCATGATTTGAGAAAAATCTTCAAAGCTTAATCTGGTAACGTGTTGTTTGCTGATGGATACAATCTTACATGCTCATTATATGGCATAACAGTTGAATAGTTAAACAGGACAACTATTTCTGATCTGGTATCTCTAGCCAAGTAGCCAGTATGTCTGTGAAATATCATCGATACGTTCATTTTCAGTTAAGGTGTCAAAGGACCAATCTAATCAATCACATTTAAAACATAGTATGTAAAAGAAGCCATACTCTCACAAAACATAGTTCTTTTAATACTGTGAGACTGTTTTTTTTTGTTAACTTTGAAATGAATTGACATAAATAAACTTTTGCTGAGTCAGAAATACGTTTTGTTAATTTTGAGCAGATATTGACTCCTACATGAAATTAATTTAAGGGAAAGTGTGCTTTATAGTATGCTTATTTAGATTTTAAGAAAACCAGAGTGCTATTTTTGATAGGTTACATCCAGTACGTCAATACATTACATATTGGTTGAAAATATGCATATATATCATCTATATAATTCAGAACAAACATGGTTTTCATAATTGAAAAGAGCTGTGAAAATTGAAAAAAAGGTTGAATATATGAGGATTTTGAATTAGTGGTATGACATCTTAAATTACTGTAAATATTATTTGATTGTTAAAATATTTAAAACACTTAGGTTTTTTTTTTCAACCCAGGCTTAGAACCCCTTAGTCGTATTGGCAACAACGTTTCCGAATATTTTGTTTTCAACACTCATCAATTTTGTGTTTGATTTCAGTCTTCCAAGGTGTTTTATTTCAACGTCAATGATGAGTCTTTTGAAGACTATTTACATATGAACTTAACAAGAAGCAACGATATATCTATATAATGCTGATCTATTTAAATAGTTTCTCGTCAAAACGCATCGGAAGTGAATTTATTGTGAACATTGGTCCACAAAAATAACTCTATGAAAACTACACTACTGAGGACATTCGCGTAGTAGAATGCTTTATTATCATATGCATTTGATGATTTGACATAATCATATTTGACCACTTTACCAAATGTTCGACTACAATTACTATAAATTTGTTTACATTGTAGACCAGCCAAATGTTCTTATATACCGACAATTCCATTAAGAATTGAATACTTCTTTTTGTAAAGTTATTGGAGTATAAAAGCGTTGACCAAAGTATATTTTGTATGTGCGCACTGTCAACGCTTTTACAAATCTATAAAATTACTAAAAGAAGCAGTCAATACTTTCTATCAAGTTTTTCTTTTATTTACCTGGTCACTTTATTGTGGAAGCTCGTGTCATCATGAATACTACATTTCATTTTGAAATTTTTGAATGAAGGTTAAATTCAGATTTACGTGATATTGCTGTTAGCCAATAAAAAAAACCGTATTATAATGAAACATACATGTACATGTAATGTAATTATTGAATTATAAATTTTGCATATAATTGTTATTCATTGTTATAACCAATAATGGGATGACATTAACAATGTGACGCAATAACTCCGTAGACAAATTGTGTTCCTACAACAATATATTATACACAATTGTTGGGAACTTTGACAGGTTTTATTTTATTTTGCCATATTAGGGAGCGTTGTTTAGTCCAGTCAATTTCTGTTTTACCTCGGACAAATCAAACAAAATTATCAATGAACAAAATTATCAAACAAAATATTAAAAAACACACAATCAAAACGTTGTAGAATCAAAAAAAAAAAAACCCAAAGATCTATGAAAAAATACTTTATTGAAATGAATGTATTTTCTTGTGTTGTATTATAGTTGTTAATACTGACAAATCTGACAAAGACGCCCACAAAAAAGATATTTTAATTGATAGTACATGCAGTATATTGAAACACAATGCTAGTACTAGTATACACTTTCCCAATAAAGTACACATTAAGTTAGATATTAATACAAGGATAAACCAAATCACAGCAACACGGTAAAACCTCTTGCGACCAAATCGTACAATATAATGTAGTGAAAAAACTATAGTTTACTTGACTAAAATCGAAAATATTTTCTAAAAAGCAAAAGACGAAAGATTCGACTACTAAAAGAATAAAGCTAGAAACACAAAGTTGTGGAGCAAGGACTGAAATTGCAAAACCAAACGCAGGAAGAGGTGAGAAGCTTTAATATTATCGTTACAAAGGTCATTCTGTTAGTCAAAATACATTTTCTAGTGTCCTACGGTTTATGATGTAAACCAAATGCAAATGTCATCGAACACAAAACACATCTGTAGGATACACATCTTGCTAGAAACATTAAGTTTGTTCTACCCCTGACATAGGTTTGACCCAATTTCTACATTAACTTTGTATTTAAATTAGCATTCTAACTGTTTCGATTCGAGGGCTACTGATGCCTCTTGAGTAGACGAAAGATGTGACTAATGAATCATACTGAACGCCAGGTATCTTTGGTGATTTAGTCAGTGAGTAAGATAGTGTACGTTCTCCGATTTACGCAACATAAAATCCGTTTGACAGGGTGAACTAGTCGTTTTGAATTGGCTGAATAATAAAAACTTTAAAAAATAGAAAAAATGTAGAAAAGATTTTTTTTCTGAAATAATGAAATTTATTCTTGATAAAGAATGAACATTATATAGTTTTGCCCTAAAACAAACTCACGAGTTCCTACAGCAAGAAACCGATGATAATTTGATAAATTGTTTAAATGATATGTTCGTAAATGGAAAAGGTCATGATGAAAACATGACTGGAACTTCTGGAAAACAGTCGATTTAAAACGAGATTTTAATGAAACGTACATTGCTATTCAACACCCTAACATTGCAAAGCCACAAGGGAAACACTCAAATCTATTGAGAATTGTAAGGCCAATTTATAGTATCTTATAATCGTTTAAGCTGGATTTTGTTATAAATTGATGTTTAATTACCAATCCCTCTGCAGAAAAAACGGAACAACACGTTATAAATTTTATGCGTCCGAAGCGCATTTCTGGATTAACCTTCATCAGGAACGCTCAAGGCCGAATATTTGAAAGACAAAGATGTATAAAAACCGAAACAGTTAAGAGCTATTTGACCAAAAAGAACCTAAAAATGGCCAAATAGTACTAAAATCAACTCTGAGCTGATGATACTCTCTGGGACTGATAGTCCACCAGGAAGAATCGACCCAGTGCTGTGAAAGAAAACAACGTTTTACGTACGAAGCACGTATCTGGATTTACCTTCAATAGGTACGCTCAAAGCCAAATATTTGTGTCATCGCATATGAGTACTTATTATAATTTAATATATTTTAACATGCACCAGCTTTGTATTTTAATAGTTACACAACCAAAGTATGTACAAGTAGGACAACCGCTTGATGAATGCCTAGAAGAAGATACCTTCTTTAATGAATGGGTAGAGAAAAATCTTCCCTCTCGTCATCAAAAGTAAGTTCTATTCTGTTTACTCGATCAACATATGTATGAAAGAAGTTATGCTTAGAATAGATATAAAGCATGCGGCAATTCGGAATAAAAATACCACTCACACGAATTATTTAACAAAAATTTGCGTAATTAATGTTGAAATATTGTCCATCTCTTGTCGTCCTAAACATGCATGAATATTTGCAACTGTATCATAAGCAACAATTATTCAAATAATTCAAATTCATCTCCTACTTTTCCAAAGAAGAAAGAAAAAAAAAGACAATTTGTATAACTGATGAACATTTAATTGTATAGTTTCAAATAGTGTATTACACAACAGGTATAACAAAATCACGTGGATCCTGAAACATTTAAATCCATAAAGGTCAATTAAGTGAAAGATGTTGGCCACTAATTATGATATAAAATTACTATATATTTAAACTTCATGTTGTACAGTCCTTGGATGGTGTAAACCTCCCACTAACACCATACACCATTACACCATTCACCATACACTATTACACTATACACCCTGTTCAATTACACCATACACGTTACACCTTTGTACCATACACCTTATACTTTACCCCATAATGCAATTTAATTTCAAAGAAAGCGTGCGACTGCAAAATTATTTATTTATTTTAAAAAACGAATTTTGATCACAGTATTGTAAATTAATGTATAAAATTAAAAATCAATTCTTATCAATATTTCGCATAGTTTTAAATGTCGTACACCATTCATTCACACCATTCCCGATCGCACGTTACACCATAACACCATTCCCCTTACACCATACACCATAGCATCATACACCTTCTACCATTGCACCATATGTCATACACCATTACACCATACACGTTTTTTTGGGAAGTTTACACCATCCAAGGGCTTTAATAATTGAAATGAAAAATAAACTGCCAGTATCTATAAGAGAATATGGTGGGTACACGTCAATAAAAGAGTATATCAAAAATGCAAAAAAAATGTCCCCGAGCGTAAAAAAAAAATACCAGATAAAAAACCATTTAAAAACAATGTATCGATTTAATCATACCCGTACCTGTACTTAATAATGTCATACTGTTGATTCATTTATTTTCGTGGATACCAATTTTCGTTGATTGAGGAAAACTTCAATTTTCGTGAATATTTGAATTCGGAGGTTTGCCACAGTCTGCACTCAATACTATTGAACATTTTTAATTCGTTGAAAACTAAAATTCGTGGTTCACCTGTACTCATGACATCCACGAAAATTGGTATCCCATGAATAAAAATGAATCCACAGTAATCAAAGCTTTTACAACTGGACTAATAGTAAGTAGCATGCGTTGTTTGCATTTTCACTCATTATAGAGCAAAGGGTGTTCACTGGATTTCCGTCGAACGGCGAAACAGTAACGAGGTATATGAAACTAAAACCATGCCTGACATCATTGGATTACACTCTGCATTTGATCATGTTGATGGTACCAAGATAGTGAATACACAAACTTTGAAAAAGCTAGCTAAGAAATATTCTTTTACAAGTGGAAAATGGATGTTGTTTGGAAAAACGGGACAAGAAATCGATCAACTCTGGAGAACTGTTGCAGATGGTGTAATAAAGGGAATAATTCCTAGTGTCTCTGCAAAAGTTAGTGCTTCAAATGAAGAAAATGACAGTCATGTCATTTGCATTTACAATGACAACTTCCTAAATGAATCAGAAGTTTATGCTCTAAGAGATGGCATCTGGAACTCTGGGATAGATAAACCGTTAAAATACAAGGCAGATATGTATACCTGTTTAGGAATATACAGCCAGAATACATGGGGAATAGATCCAGTCCTGTATCGAGGTAGACTATATATCAAACAATCAGTAATTTTCCATATAATATAAGCAATGCAAATACCGTCTTATTGTATCACCTGTTATGGATGATTGTCTACAGTCAAATTACTGTTCATGGTATTGAACTAATTGGCTCCGTGTAAGAGTATCGCTTTAAATTTCAGGATTTAACAATATGTTTAAATTTTTAAAAAAATGATGTGTTCGTACTCACTCGGAAAGAAAACAAAATCTCGTCAAATCTTCACTTTTGTCCTTTTTCTAGAGCTTGTACATATAAATGTTATACTTTCTAAATGTGCACGTACATGTATATTTGTCTTTACTCAGTCAATTTGTAATTTGTAAATTCAAATAAGAACATAGATAAAAAATTTGTAACTTTTAACTAAAGATGCTAAAATAGCTAGTTTATATATGCATGTTTCTGTGTAACAAACTTGTTTACTAATTATTAAAATACCCAAAGCTGTAAAGAAAATAACAATCTGAATATAAAAATGAAATTGTTATTTCTTTAAGTTCATCAGAAATCGCTCAAAGAAAACATCCCAAACTTGTCAGTATTGACTCAATAATTTAATAAATGCAGCAGTATGCCTTTCTGTGTGCTAACATTTTCAAACGTTATCTGTAGACAGTGTTTCATCAAACAAAAACAAATTTAGGTATAATTCCTTGCAAATATACACTATACCTAAGCTGTTAACAAACCATATTTAAGATACAAATTTAAGGTTTTAGGAGTGAACTTCAAGGTTATGACAATTTTCACTAGTTACATTTGATAGACAGTTTTGTTAGATAATTACTATTTTAATTACAAAAATATACATATATGCACGCTTTCAAAAAGTATAACATGAACCTCGAGCTCTTCAACACAATCTCATATATACAAATGTAAATTTTATTTATGATTAAGTATATTAAGTTTTCATTTTATTATATATATTTCTATTTGATGTGTTGACCATGTTTTATGCGTTTATTCTGTAAACACGTTACCCTTATGTTTTATTTTCAACCAACAAGAGATCATTTAAGCAATTGCTGGATAATGATTTATATTATACCTGAACATGCTTTAAATGAGTTTTAAATAACGGAGTCATAAAGAAAGTTAAATGGGATTGGTCTACAAAAATTCATTTCACATTCAAATAAATTATAGAGCTAACTTTAACTCTTATTCTGCATCTCAATCCATTGAATTTCAATCACAAATTATAAAAATCATGTGTGCAGCTTCGTCAAAAGGACATTAATTGGTTTTTTAGCCATAAAGGCGAGTCTTATTAAGTTTGTTTGATACTATTTAATTTGAAGTAACGTCGAGATAGAATTTGAAATTGACTAAATCTGCCTAAAAAAACATATATTTTCACTCGATATCTTATAAAAGAGGAACGACAGATACCAGAGGGACAGTCAAACTCATAGATCGAAAACAAACTGACAATGCCATGGCCAAAAATAAAAAGACAAACAGACAAATAATAGTACAGATGACACAACATAGAAAACTAAAGACTAAGCAACACGAACCCCACCAAAAACTGGGGGTGATCTCAGGTGCTCCGGAAAGGTAAGTAGATCCTGCTCCACATGTGGCACCCGTCGTGTTGCTTATGTTATTACAAATCTGGTAAATAGTCTAATTCGGTAAGTCACATTCGTAAAAGACTTCCCAAGCATGAATTTATTATAACTTTTGAAAAATCATCAATGACAGTGAATACTTTGAAAGGCCGCTGAACTAGCAAATAAGGTGGTGAGTGGGAATCATTCTGAGGCGTTTAGAACTTTTTAAGATTTATCAAAACTTAGGATTTGTGCATGTACGTAATGGAAATTATATATATGTACATCGCAAAGTATTTCAACAGACAATTGCCAAACAAATATATATCATTAACAGCACTTATATGTTGTCCTCCACCTTTACAGTGGCTGGAAAGTAGACATCTAAGTACTTCAGGACATACACCATCTTATGACGGTGTTGTTTGGTCCTGTTTTTTTAAATTGAAAAGAATTTATATCGATGTAATTATTTGTGGAAAACATCACTAAACAAGCATGATAAAAAGCAATGAACTCAGCTGTTTGTGATTTTTTTCATTTAAGGCAAAGTAACGCTTTCGTCATTGCAAACAAACTCAATGTGAGTCCAAGACGAATAATTCTATCGATTTAGCGGACATAGTTGTTAGATGTCTATCAAGCTACATCTGTTTTTAATACACAATCTGCGGGGTAAAATCAACTGTTCAAGTCTTTATTGTTAAACAATTTAAAACTTAGTTCAGGTCAGTTTTCTAAGATGGAATTTGAAAAGTTTTCGTACAGACCTAAGAAATAACCATCTTTAAAACTATCAGCTGACTTATTATGGATGAAGTTTATTGTTAATTAGACGATAAATAAATGGTATTTTCGTCGTAGAAAAAGATTGTTTAAAATAACAATAGCGGCCTGCTGGATGTTTCAGAAAAAACATTTTCCTTCATGCAATTGTTATTTTATATCATATAGAAGAAATATGGTATGGCACAGCTATTATACCCATCACTTTAAATATAACAATTTTCGAGGATCATCACAGTTTTCTGGAATTTATGCAAATTGAGAAATTTCCTTTAATTTGTTATTGTTTGTTATAGTTTAAGGAAATTCTCTTTTTATTGACGATACCAATACTAACACTGTTAGGTAATACAGCAAATACATTAATCTCCAAAAAAAGCAAAGTTGATCGGGCAGTCATAGACCAAATTTATAAACTTCTTAGACATTTCGTTGAAATAAACAGTATGATCGACCATGGACACATAGTATATCTTTCCCACTCCTTATGGTCATCTTTTATTAATTATACTTGCATGTTCCCTTTGTATTCATCTACATACATTTGTGCTTAAACCAATTTTTGCCCTGGTAATTTCCTGGTGAAAATTAAGCTCAAATGCAATTATATATAAATACAATAATACATGGAATTGCTTTGAATAAATTGAGATAGCATTAAATGAGAGTTACTTTCGAGTTCATCAATTACATGAATTAACGGCAATAATAAAAAAACTTATATCATTTTCAGAAGAAAAAGGACAATGTGATGATATCTTATTTAACTTATTATACGACAAGCAACCAAGTATATCCGCTGTAAGTATACAAATTAAAATCAACACAACAACTGTTTAACAGTTTGATGATTTACTCATCGTATTAGATTTTAGGCTAACTAGATATACCATGAACGAAGAACAACATTACAATATTTAAAGAGTCACGACCGTCGGATTTCAAATTCAAAGTGGTAACTATATATTCAAACGAAATTTTATTTCTATTTCAACCCAGGTCTAGTTAAATATATATACTATACTATTAAAATATCGCAGAAACGGCAACTCCAATAGTGCAATTGCATATAAGTACTAATATATGCAGTGTCTATCTTTCCTTGAAGAAATTTATAAGTTGACTCATAACTTGAATTTCGGACTAACGCTATATTTATCATTAAAATCAAACTGAATAAGTAGTTACGCAGTTAACACTCAATTAACCTACATTGCAAAAAGGTGGGGGACATCTACGGAAAAAATAAAACACCTTTACTCGAAGAAATACAGACAACGCCGTATGCAAATGAATAACGACGAACTAACACAAACCAGTTCAAAAATGTATACCCAAAAACAAAATTGAGCACCAAGAACTCAAATAGTACCAAACAAAACTTGGGTGCTCAAACAAGCAGAGCAATTTCCTGTCGAAAGCGACATTCGCTTTATTACTTATTATAAATATGTTCCTCAGTCATATCCAATGATGAAACAGCATACATTAAAATATAGGACGAAATTTCCTTTTACCTAGTGTCGAAACAATATTCCAACTCAATAATTTTGTTTCTCTTTACTCAAAACCACGATAAATACGCAATGTTTATAGTATTATGTCTGTTAGTTTTGCTCACACATTGTTGTCAATATAATGGAATTACATGCAACTGTCATACAAGTGACTGGTTTAGCTAGCTTTAAAACCAGGTTCAATCCACCATTTTCTACATCAGGAAATGTATGTACCAAGTCAGGAATATGACAGTTGTTTTCCATTCGTTTGTTGTGCTTGAGCTTTTGATTTTGCCATTTGATAAAGGACTTTCCTTTTTTAATTTTCCTGGTAGTTCGGTATTTTTGCTATTTTATTTTTTGCATATTGAAGCTCTGATGATGTTTAAGAAAAAATATTGCAGGTAGCTGGAATCACCTTAACTAAAGAATCGTCTCCATTGCTTTCTATTGCTGGTCCAACGATGAACAGTGCAGTTCCAATAACGCTAGGAATCAAATCGATTTCGAACCTAGAGAAATACGGGAACGATGACGAAAAAGTCAGACTTTCCATCCTATTCCATGATGGAAACATTTGTTTAAAAGGGATTGCGTTTGGTGCCTCGGCTCGCAAGTGGAAAGAGATTTTAAACGTTAAATGCACATATAAAATACGCAGTTACGCAATTAAGGAGAGTAATAGAAAATATACAAATACTAAGTATGAGATACATCTCTGGGAAACTACTGTCTTCAAAAAGTTAAAAAATGGGTATACTAAAATACCAAGAGAGAAAAAAATGAAAATATCAGAACTTGATCAACAATTTGAAAACTTGTTAGTGTCAACATCAAAAGTGATGATTACTGAAATTGAACAATTAATAAGACCAAAAGAAAAGTTCCTGCGAGAAATATATATTAATGATGCAACAGGAGAAATAAAGATAAAGATGTGGTCGCATGACGCAGACAAATTTCCGTACAATGAGGGCGAGTTTGTGAAACTAAAGTACGTGTCCTTGAGATACGACAGTTTCTGCCGACAATGTTATTTAGAAAAGTCTGATAACATGATCATTTTGCGATGTAATGAATAGCAAACAGAAACATGCTTGTGAGAACATAAACACAACACTGTTATATTATTATGACTTATCTATATCAAGAAATGTCATTATATTTTATATTTGTACTACTTAAGATGGCAGCGTTGGTTCCTTTTATAGCTTACTAATATATGATATGGATTCTGCTGAAGGTCGTACGGTGATCTATAGTTGCCTACATCAACGTAATTTTAGTATCTGGTGGATATTGTCTCAATTGCAACCTACCATATCTTCTATTGTGGGTTTTGTGTGGTTCAGTCTTTAGGTTTCCAAGTTGTGTTTTGTGTAATGTTTTGGGGCTTTTTCTTTTTTTTGACATGGTGCTTGGTTTTCGACTCATGAGTTTGAATGTCCCTTTGGTATCTTTCTCCTCTCTGTTCTAATCATGTATATGTTTGTGATGCTATGCTGGTTTCGTGATGCATCATCAGAAGGATCAAATGCACATTGATATTGGTTATTGTTCCCCACCCATATGGCCGTAGAGGAGTTATTAGTATTGCAAATCTATATAACTTTGAATCTCATGATTCAGAGTACAGTTGCAAATATTTTTGTTTATAGTTTCTACACAAACATTCATGAATATTGATTTTCTTAAACAATTTTTCTGTTTTTATTGATTTTTCAACTACATTTAACTTTATTGCAAAATTGTGTTGTTATGATTAATATATTACAGCTTAGTAAAAACAAAATATCCTAACAACTAAATAGCCAATATTCACAAAAATAAAATTGTTTGGCCTATATCACCTTGTTCCAGATTCAAAAGTGTAATGGAAATATTGTAGACTAAGTGCTAATGAGAAGTTAATGTAACAAATCGTATGTAAAAATAACGCATTCCCATTGCAAATGTCATATCTTTGGACGGGTAAGAGAAAAAGGATATATATATATTTTTGCTCAAAAGTAGTACAATAAACTAATCACAGATACTAGGCTTAACATTTTGTACGCCAGATTCGCGTTTCGTCTACAACAAACCCACCAATGACGCTCGAATAAAAAAGATAAAAAGGCAAAATAAATTACGAAGTTGCAAAGTTGTGTAAACAGTTAATCTATATTCATGGTGATATACACAATTCCTCCTAATGTATGCACAAACAAAACATTTGCCAAAGAAGTGCTTCAAATCAACACGCAAGTATATAACGTCAGCAATGTATGTTCGAAACACAGTTTACTTATAGTGCATCAACTTATGTGTAATTCTCGCTGTATACTTCATGCGTCGATAAAGTCGAAGCTATCATTGTTCTTCAAGAAACATTTTAATCATTTAAAAGAGTATAACTATGTCAGAATTAACGGAATCACGAGTCAGTCGAATAAAAAAATCTTAATCATAACGCTGTAGTCTAAAATTTAAAATAACAAAAATGCCGAACTCCAAGGATAATTCAAAACGAAAAGTCCCATATCAAATGGCAAAATCAAAAGCTCAAACACATCAAACGGATGAAAATCAACTGTCATATTCCTGACTTGGTACAGGCATTTCCTTGTGTAGTAAATAGTGGATTAAACCTGGTTTTATAGCTAGCTAAACATGTCACTTGTATGACAGTCATATAGAATTCTATTCTGACAGCAATGTGTGAGCAAAACAAACAGACGTAATAGGTAAAAATGTCAAAAAATTGGGTACAGCAGACATTTTTTTGTTATAATCGTAATCGCTATAAAAACAAATAACTATATCAACAAAGAAAAACAAAATTGCATATAGACACTCTATAAACAAAGTACATAAGCAAAATTAAAGACAAGAATACAAAAATGACCATAGTACAATAACACAATGGCGGGATGTAAAAATACCTAAACAGGCAAAAAGTATATTACCAAAAATTGAATAAACAGTAAAGTTTAAAGATATAGAAAGGCAAATAAAAAAGAACATTATGACACGTAATTAAGATGATAAACAACGTCAATACCTAGAATCTATACTTCAAGACCATCCTGTACTATTTGTGAGGTTGATACGAAATATTTATCAACAAGGTCTTGGGTTCTTCCGATGAAGTTTTTTTTTTAGAAAAAGGACGAGACGTTCTTTGACATAACCCTGGTTTATCAACTTTCTCACAAGGTAATTGTGACGTTTTATAAAGTCTGAGTAGCAGCTGCAAGCTCCTGAATACCGAATGAGATGTATATTCCATATGCAGGTGAAGTTGGTATAGTACTGTTAAGGTGGGGGAAATTTATGATTTCAAAATTAAAATAAATCGTCTAGTTTGTCATATATTCTGGTACTGATATGACCACTTATGTCAAATTCGAGGTATAAGTATATAAATCAGGCGGAGGAAGCCGTGTTTGTTGTTTTCTTTAATTGCTAGCTCTCGATGATATATTAATGGAACCCAATCAGAAAAGTTTGGACTGCTAATGGAAAGAACCTCATCAATATATATGAATGTGAAATTAAATGGTCTGGCTCCTTTGATCTTCTTGTATTTGATAAGTGTCTGAAGGAACTCCGACTCATACTAAAATAAGAAGAGGTCGGCTATGAGAGGCGCACAGTGTGTTCCCATAGGAATGCCGACAATTTGTTGAAAAAGTTTACCTCCAAATTCAACAAATATGTTGTCAATAAGAAACTCCAGAATACTGATCACTTGTTCCTCTGTGTAGCATGTTTTACATTTTTGATCACTTTTAACAAAATATGTCGTATGGTATCCCAAAGCAATAAATTTATAGCGTATGCTACCATTTTATATTGAAAAGCATTGTGGATTATTTCTTTTAGGCGATTTTTCAATTTCACACGGGGAATGGTGGTATACAGGTTTGAAAACTAAAAGATTTAATAGAATTGATTTTAGAGAAAGATCGAGATTTAAAATTATTCAGAAGTTCTTTAAATTTTTTTTAGAATCCACATATGGTTAATACCACTACGCGATTAAACAGTTTCCCATATTTCTGAAGACCGTCTTTCACTGCGGACATACTTTTTGTCGATCCCATGGACAATTGTAGAACATGCAGATGAGCCGGCATAGTACCGTTGTTTGTACGGAATTTTGTTAAAATTTGGTATTGAATACAAACAAGGTAGGTCCTTAGATTTGCTGTTCAATGTAATGTTTATTGAAGCAATGAAGGACTTATGATTAGCCAAAATCTCATTCTTGTCAAATGATATGTTTTTGTATGCGGCATTACCTGAGTGCTCATTTATTCCAAATTCTTTTACAAGACACGCGTAGTAGTACGATGTACATACAAATACAATATTTTAAAACTATTTTATATTATATGTTCCCTACACAGTCTCTAATTCGTGACCATCAGAACGTGTGCCTTTCGTTTTTTCTAACGGTTTTAGAAATGTTTAGATATTTGTTAGTGTTGTGATTTGCCGTCCAACCGAACTTTCAAACTCATGAACAGCCACTTTCTGTCATATTTAATACATTACGTATTTAAATTCCTAACAAATCGTAAATTGTGAAATTTGCAACAAAATTTTATGTATTTAAGTCTTTCTTTAGGTATTAAACCAAAATTAAAATAAACTACCTAAAATACCGTCGTGTATATCTATCAGGAATAATAAATTGTGAATGAAAGTTGAAAAGCTTTAAACAGGTCAATGAAAAGAACAACAAAAGGAGAAAGCTGATTAAACCATATATGTAAAATTTCTGATAATAAAATAAGAACACTAAAATAATTCAAGGAACAAGTGATTAATTTGTAAAGCATAGAAGTTTCCATTATAATACCAAATTCCATATAAATGCGTTACAGGTACATGTATTTAAATCATCATTTAATTTTTAAACACAGAGTTGGAAGCAAAATCACAGTCACATGTAGCTTTTACTTGCAAAAAGTGAGGCGAAGGATACCAAAGGGACATTCAAACTCATAAGTCGAAAATAAACTGATAACGCCATGGCTAAAAAAGAAAACAAACAAATAGACAAACAACAGTACACAAAACACAACATAGACTGAGCAACACGAACCCCACCAAAAACTGGTGGTCATCTCAGGTACTCTGGAAGGGTAGGCAGATCTTGTTCCACATGTGGCGCCCGTCGTGATGCTCATGTTAGTACAAACCTTGTGATGAGTCTAATTCGGTAGGTCACTTTCGGGGAAAAGGGGACGAGACTGTTGTTACTACAATTGGAACATATCCGTTGTCATCTGTGAAACTGATATTTCATAACGGCCAACCAACTTGTGATGGCGTCTGTAAAAGTTACGAAGGGACGATTTCAACTTCACCAGTTGGAACTCTTGGTTTGTATAGCTTCCTTGTTAGCAGCAAACCTCTATCAAGGAAATTATGATAGGAAATAATATCCCCGGAATATCGTATCAATTGGGAGATATATACTCTGTATGCAGGTGCTGCTGGAATGTTGCAACATAGAAATGAGAAGTTCACGATTGGAAAGCTGAAATCATCTATTTTGTCGTAAAATTGTTTTTTCAACCAACCATTATTGTCAATTTATAGATGTAATATCCTGTATCTCAAGTTCGATGGGATAGATGCGTTCAATATAGTCATCAAATTTTGATTTATTTAGTGAGAGAACATCGTCTATAGAAGGGGGCCTCGGTGGCCGAGTGTTCTAAGTAGTTACTACTGTAATCTCTAGCCAGTCAACACGGAGGTTATGAGTTCGAACCCCGCTCGTGCGGGTGCACTCGACTCCAATCTAAAACTGACTAGGATTGTCAGTTTTTCTATCGAAGGTCGGTGGTTTTCTCCGGACACTCCGGCTTCCTCCACCAATAAAAACTGGCCGCCACGAAATAGCCCAAAAGCGGTGCTTAAAAGAGGCGTTAAAACACAAAAAAATCAATCAAATCGTCTATAGAGCGGAAAGGATACTTCTAAATTCTTTCTTTCTTCCTAAGAAGTTCCTGTATAAAGTCAGCCTCATATGATTAAAGTAACAAGTCGGCAAGAAGAGTTGGTTCCCATGGGAATGCCGATTATTTTTTGAAAAACACGTCCTTTAAAGGAAACAAAAATGTTGTCAATCATGAAATCAGGCATCTTGATATTGTCAGTTTTAGATAATTTTTTGCTATAATCAGAGTGATTTTTTACAAAGTACGATTTATGCCTCCCTAAGACAAGTATCTAAGTAGGCCATATTGTTTTATGAAACAAAGCAGGACCACCTCTACCAAAGCTGTCAACTAAATCAACAAATAGAAATTTATTTTGCTTGGATGTACAAGGTTTGTTTTATATATACATATGCCTAACCTATATATTGTTAAGTACTGGCAACTGACATGATACTGGTTCAAAAGAATACATCATTAATTTACATTCGATGATACCACAACTGTTTTAATATATTTCCCTAAAGTTGCCATTCGCTCAGAAAGAACACATGTGAATGACACCATCACGATTTTGTTAATCATAAGTGAATTTTGCTGTCACAGATTTGACAGATGATCACGAACATTTTGCAATTGTCATAATTACAATGATGTCCTCTTTTCTCAATTTTGACATCAACAAATGAGGTATATCTATGAATTTGTACTTACCATGAACAATATGACAAAAGCATCTGGTCGAACATGGTCTATTTACCATTCCTGAGGATCTGAGATCATTGCAAGATGTTGTGGGGTTCGTGTTGTTCAGTATTTATGTGAACTGTTTTATTTTCGTGGTCTCTCATTTTTTCCCATGGCGTTGTCAGTTTCTCGTCGACTTATAATATAGAAATAAGAAGATGTGGTATGATTGCCAATCAGTCAACTCTTCAAAAGAGACCAAATGACACAGAAATTAATAACTATAGGTCACCGTATAACCTTCAATAATGAGCAAAGACCATACCGCATAGTCAGCTATAAAAGGCCCCGAAATGACAAATGTAAAACAATTGAAAGAGAAAACTAACGACCTAATTTATGTACAAAATAATGAACGAAAAACAAATATGTTACATAGCAACAAACGACAACCACTGACTACAGTCTACAGACTACAGTCTCCTGACTTGGGACAGGCACATACATAATGTGGCGGGGTTAAACCCGTTTGAAGGCACCAACCCTTACCTAACCTTGGACAGTGGTATGACATTACAACATAGAAACAAACTATAAAAATCAGTTGAAAAAGGCTTAACTAATCAGATGGATACAAATATAAATACATCTAACAAAAACACAGTGGACGTGGACGGGTACTTATACATCTTCACAACAAAAAGACACTTAGTACAGATCTGAGAGTACTCGCAATTACTGTCAGCTAGTTCAAAGCTAAAAACAAGTAATCAAAAAATCATGCATCTAAGACTAGAATATTCTAAGTTTTATATTTCAGTTGGTATCGTTCATCCTACATTTGTAAATGAAACAAAAATAATTGTTTCAATTTTATTGACGTGCGAAGCGTTTTCTGGATTTACTTCACGAGTGCTTCGTTTGGGACCTAAACCAATCTAAGGTAAATTTTTTCCTGAGGAAAATAGTGTTTTCTTAATTGATATCCCCGGAAAATTACAATCAACCTGCAGCAGTGTTTAACTTTTCCTTTATTCAGTATGTTCCAAAAGAAAGTGTGACCAGGGGACACATCTGTTAATGTTAAAACTTGTTGCAGTTGCTATTTGAGACCATTGACCTCTGTAGAACCAATTATATATAATTATTAAAAATTAAACTTAATTCGGTAATTCGTTAATTGTTCTTTATATTTTTTTTTCTTAAATTTAGATGCAAAATAAATTACACTCATTGTGATACATTTGTATCCCAAATCGTAAAACAATATATGAACTTTATACCGATCTGGTTTTGTAATCTCTGGTGTCGTAAACGGTTAAAAAATAATGTTTACGCCTTATTTAGATATTGCGAGTAATTTCTAACATAGTTTGTGGCGGTAAATTCAGTACTTTTAGAAACTTCGCACTATATAGTCAAAGTTCAATATTCAGTATGTATTGTTTCGACTAGGTTTATTTCCCAATATACTTTAATTAGAATGACAACTTTTAATTGACTGTTATTTATTGATCTGAATAAAATTTTGCACAATAGAAAACATTGAATTACACAAAAACGCTGAAAATCACGTAATTAAATCATGTACAGTGTTTTTGTCATAACTTTTGGAGGGATCAATATGCCCGTTCTTATAAAAAGTAAAATAATTGGAGTGGTCATACAATAATACTTAATATAACGTATTGCTTGACATCCAGTAAGCGTTTTTAAAAGTATTGCAAACAAGATTACGAACATATCTATCTAATTAGACTGATTACTGAATGAGAAATTAAGATTATATACCTCTAATAAATTTCACTGGATACGTAATGTAATGCATCTTCCTACATGTATCAATAATGGAGTGTAGTATTTAAACATGTAGAAAGATGCATTATAGTAAATTAGTAGATTGTTTTCACCCGAGCGCTGCCTTCTAATATATTTAGCACATTAAACATGTTAAAGATTTAGAATATTAAAGATACGGATTAAAACAACGACAGTGTGCAATTAAGGAAAGTTCAAAGAATGTATGATACGTATGTTTTGACGGCTATTAATTGATTATATAGATCGTGTGTTAAACATTTTTTTATTTAAGAAATGTATTCCTCGTGCATAATTCTGCTACCTTGTCCGGGTTTGGCTTTACTTTTGGTGATATTTGATTGAATCGGCTTTAAAATGATTATGTTATGTATTGAATTTTTAAATATTTTGGGCTAGCAATACTGAAGAAATATCGATTGTCGAAGTTCTCAACTGCTGGAGTTAGTTCGGTAAGGACTAAATTTGGCTCGAATATTAAGTCCATTGTTTCAAATTAAAAAAGAATCAAGTTTTTGAAAAGACACGTAAGACAGAGAAATATGTTTAAATAGCTTTTCTTATAAAACATTAATATTTTAGGTGTAATACCACCAAATCGTAGTACGTCACATCCTGTTGCATACGAAAAAGGTTCGAAAAAAAATATTCCCTAGAATTTGACACTTGTAGGAAATTAATCCTACATTTCATTGCAGTTAAACATTTCTGAGTCATAAACATATATCTTGGGAGTTTCAAAGCACCGTTCTATTTTTATTTGGTGTTTCTATAAAATATTTTGGAAACTTGAGGTTACATGGTTACTACAGCTTGTAAGCAGGAAAGAAAGGGTGGAAATTTGATTGGTTAACTTCCACATGTTCCAGTGATAAGTATTATCGTATATACAAATGAAATGTTATGTAAAAATTTGTCTGTAGTACTGTACAGGATAAAACTTTACTCGTGCCAAGTATTTCTTTATTTGAAACAAAGATAAATTCTGCACAATTTTTTGAAAAGTGCAAATTTAACAAAGACTAATAGGGGAAAAACAAAGGTGGCTTTACACCTGAAAACTCATTTATGCCAAAAGTAGAAATTTTTTGTGAAGCTTGACATTAACGTCTAAACGGCAACCAAATGTAAGCCTAGAAAACATACAGTACAATTCTGTAACTCCAAATAAATCAAAATGTTCACACAATACTTCTAGGGTCATCAATATCAAAGTATTCAAATATGACGATTCTTGCCATTTTCAGTTTTAATCTCAAGCCAAAAACACAAATTAATGTCCATGAATGTCATGTTTTTGAAAACTGAAGACGCGTGTTTTTTTGTTTTGTTTATTTGTTAGTTTAGTTGAAAAAAAGGAAAATGGCTTGAATATTCTGTTTCTTAATCGGTCTTTTTTATTGATTTTCTTACTTGTTTGAATAAAACCTCAATTTTCGCCACTAAAGTAAAAAGTTCTCTGTAAAGCCGTGGGTTAATTTCAAGTTTATGTTTAAAATATACAAGAGATTTATTAGCGAAAACAAGATATAATGAAATTACTATACATGGGGAAAATTATTCGTTCTTTGTGTTGTTGAGCACATAATGTACTGTATGTCGCTTCTCAGATACCTTGTTTCAAACGTGCAGATACTCAGTCGCAAAAGCGTCTTGTGTTGGTTTAAAATATCGACAATGAGCTCGAGGATCCCGACATATCATTTTTACTGTATCTGTCATATATTTCTAATGTATAATTATACATAACTTATGAATTCTCGATTAAAATAAGAAACAATATATATCATGTATTCATAATACATGCAATAGAAGCGGATGAGTTTTAATTGTGCCTACAGCCATCCAGGTGTAAAATTGATACACAAATAGGTAAACATCTAGAATTTTTAACAAAAAGAGCAATATTTAGAAGATTAGAACATTTATAAAAAATGGTTGATATGAACGTAATCGAGAATTCATGAACAAACGAAAAATGTATGATTTGGATTAAAATAAGAAACAATATATATGATGTATTCATAATACATGCAGTAGAAGCGGATGAGTTTTAATCGTGCCTACAGCCATCCAGGTGTAAAATTGATACACAAATAGGTAAACATCTAGAATATTTTACAAAGAGAGCATTTTTTTAGAAGCTTAGAACATATATAAAAAATGATTGACATGAACGTAATCGAGAATTTATGAGTTATGTCCAATAACCTCGATGTACAGAAAATATAAATAACAAACCTATTAACAGAGGCACACGATATGGATTGATATGTATTGATGACTCTTCAAATTGACTTAATATTGGTTTTTATTCTTCGTTGTTAACAAACTTTTCGACATAAATTTGACAAGTTAGTTCTTTGATTCTTTGAACTTTCAACTCAATTTGTATATTTACACGAACAATATTAATGTGGTCATTTTTTCGTAGTCATTGGTTTGATAGATTATCTCCTGTATATTAAACTTAAGTGAAAGTGAAACTTGAAAATTTATTTTTGGACTTCCTTTTAAATTTTAAATATTCTGTAATGGTGTATCAGTGACCGTCTTTGAGGTAAGGAAAATGATTTTTAAGCAGCTTTACTAAAATGTATTAGGTTGCTGTAGTAATTGATAATTTCGACGAACGCATTTGACAAAGCGTTTTTTTTCATTTCATGTTAGTTTGGATTCGTTGTAATATACAGAGAATAACAAAAATCACAGGTAGGAATTGTTAACCAGTCACCATTGTTGCCTTTGTGTCAAGCTTTTCAATATGATAACATAGAGTCTGTTTAATATAAGATTAGTTTTTAATGGCAAACATATTTTGTAGCAGATTTAAACATATACTGGTACTATAAGGGGGAGGGGAGTACATACTATAGAAGATTCCTTAGTCATTTTTATAACGGTGACATTTTTCATGATATCTTTATTTTAACATCAAGGTAATAGCGAAAGGTTAAAACGACAACTGTTATCTTATGTGTTGCTGTTCAAAGGTATAGATAAACCAACCACTTTGAAAAAAGACATTTAAATTTTTGAATTTGCAAGGTCACATAATAAACGATAATCAACAATTGAATAATACTATGACACCTGACACAAAATCAAACATAGCGGGGTAAGATACGTTGACGATAGGATAAGCGTCTCCTGTCTTTACATGCAATACCGCCATACGAGTTCGCCGTCAGTCAAAATTTCACAATAGAAAAACATCACTTTCTATGACTTGTAGAAAATCGCATAACCGAAAGCCTTTTCATCAGAAAATACGACATTTCTTTACAGTAGGAAGTAATCCATCAGTGATACACAATACCAACGAAGAATGGAGAAAACAGCTCAATCCAATAAGGACAAAAATAACACACCACGTGAAACAAAAAGGAAATTAAAGGTAAATATAGTGTGTACATGATAGTGAAAGGCTCATTTTGGACTTGCATATTACATACATAACTTTTTATATCTTACGGAGAGCAACAAGTTGTAGGACAAATTTCAAAGCCATTCCTATTAAATCAGTTTTTGCTGAGCATATATTTAATAAGATTCACATAAAACTAAAGGTAAAACTCATATAGGAATCAATATACAGTTGCAGTTTAAAAATACGCGTCCATAAAATTATGGAATACAAAAATTCTTAAAGACTTAACAACACTGTCGTGTTAGTTGATATATTTTCATTGATAACCGATGAGAGCATTTCCGTTTATTCCCAATAGGGCTTGTTTAAGGACATATCAGTTTGCTTAAATGAATACGAATAGAGGAAGCATACATTTAATTGATATTCATGACACAGCAAGATACACATTTACTTACTTTTCCTCTGCTTTGAATGCGTTGTTGTGATCATGTTTTGAGTTTTTGACTATTTGAACGCGTATTCCAATCTTTAAGTACATTGAAGAAAACAGAAGTGTATACAATCCACTCTTGTAATATGTTGGTACAGCGAAAAACTGGTTTGATCAAGGGTTATATCTATGGTGTTCTTTGACTTTTCTAATTTGTCCTTTAAATACGCATGACACTTGCTGCTGTAGATCTTATGTGTATGTCGTATTCCTAATTGATTTCCTCTATTTTGAACGTTTAGAAAGCTAAAACATGGTACTTCTGAACACTACGCATATGAGACAGTATATTCGAAGCTTTTGTATATTGTAAAATTGTTTGTTATCGTATAACGTTTATCTAAATATTCAAAACGATGATTCTGTGATGTTTCTAGAGTTATGATGATCATGGATTGAAGGTTTTTTTTATACATCTAAAATAAACAGTATGTTTTAAATATTATTACGGACGTTTGCAGTCTAATGACATTTCAAGATCGTTCGCGTTTTAAATTATCCCTTCAATCTTGTCACCTGTCACTACAACTATACAAAATATGATCTAATGATGTTTAACAAATTTGTATGTGTATGGGTGCATTAGGTTTATTAAAACATAAGACATAATATTTTTGTTTAAATATTGTTTAGGTTATTGAAACATTATGACATATTATTATACAAATCTTAAGTGTTTGTAATTACCCTTCCATGTTGCCACCAGTCACTACAACTACAACTAAAATAGTTTGCCAAAATTTAAAAACAGTTTCTAGATTAGGAAAACTACCATCTTTCCAGTTAATCCAAAAACTAGAAGGATTTTTGATACATCCAATTATCGGATGATAAAGTATAATGTGTCGCAGTTAATCTGTAGTCTACTCTTAGTGGGGGAGATTAGTATTTTGGTTTGGTTAAATTGCGGGAACAAAAGTTTTCCTTACATACATGTAAGATCAGTTAAAAAGTGTTTATCAAAGCAAACGAAGCAAACACACACAAAAAAAGAAAAAAAAAGAAAACGTATATTATACATGTTATATAAATACAAACATTTAAATGACAATTAGTGTATCATTATATTTCTCCACTTAAATAAATCAGAGTTGCTCCAAGCTGTTCATATTCCAACACCAACGAAAGTAGTAGAAATTCAATCGTTTAATTTAGTGACACTCATACATGTATAAAAGTCTTCTATAGATACAAAATGAGCAATGTCCATCTCTCAAAAGATCTAAAGTGGACGAAAAAGGTGGTACGACTAAAACTGCAAAAGGATTGACAAAAAGAGGTAAGTATCCACGCATTTTGATATGATTCTTCTATAACTTGAAACGTTGTAGTGGTTCGCCTTACTGCAATGGTTTGTAAAGTACATCGAATGTAAGTTATACACAGGCACAAGTATAAATAAAAAACAAGTGTAGTTTACCGATGTTAAAAAAATCAATTAAGACTAAACAATTAAGCAGGAACCTGTGATATAGTAGTTGTCGTTGATTGCTGTATTTCATATGCGATTTTCATTTATTGTTTTGAATATAAATTAGGACGTTGTTTTTCTCGTTTGCAATGTTTTCAATTCTTTCAAGTCGATGCCTTTTATAGCTCACTATACAGTATGAATGTGTCTAATTATTGAATGGCGTACAATGACCTGTAGTTAATTAAATCAACGTCCTTTTGTCTCTGATGATAATTGTTTCATTGGCATCATATCAGATCTTCTTATTTTGATAAACCAAGGTTTTAAAAAATGAAGGAATCACATGAACTTTGGAAGCAGCATGACCAGGTGTCTTTTACTATGCATGCATCACATGCCATGAAAATCGACTCTCAGTCGGATTTTCACAATCGGAAAAACGACACAATCGTTTAAATAAACTCATCGTAGATACCAGGAATTTACAGATCAGATGGCCATTTTGATATCTAAATATCCAAGCCCCTTAAAAACAATTTGATATTGAGTTCCGACACTGATAGATCGTATCGGACACCGATTCGCGATGGTGACCGTACAACGTTTAAAGTGTCAAATTAAGTCATATTTCTTATTTACTCTGTTAAAGCAGTTGATATGTCAGGAGCACGCTCCTACTAATGATGTCAGAGTTCTGTGAAAATGCGAGAGTGTAACGTATTAATTGAGAATTCAGAAATAGCAAGTTGACAATTGGAAAGTTGATGTTCGAAATTAGTCATCTGTGTAAAAATTAAGGTTAAGATCAAGGTGTGAAGCAAACCTTCTATTTCGGTAGTATCCTTAATCTCAATTTCACTGGAGTATATGAGATGCAGGTTTTGACTGAAATTTAAATCGGAAAAGTTCAAACCCGAACACTTGAAAGCCATTGATATATAAGATCTAAACACGCAAACGCTAAATGACCAACATACGCAAAATGTACATTAAAAGATAGACAAATTCATCTAAAGTCAGTTTTTAAAAGCGGTCGAACATATTTCCTGTGAGCGAACACCAAGCACATCTGTGAAATAAACATCTTTCGCCGCCAGTGAGTAAATAACTAATTCCGTCGATTGATGCAGAATGTATTAAAGCCAATCTGACAGCGATGAAGAGTTGATAAGGGAAAACATGGAAAATGCAACGCTAATTGAATAACTAAGAACAGACATAAGTTGTCGCAAAGGAAAAAAGAATTATATGACATACTGAGATATAATTATTATCAGGAATATACAAAGTTTTTGATGTTAAAAGCATGTTTCACTCATACAATTTTGTAATTATGCTGAAGATAAGGCTGCAACTCAGGCAGAAAAGGTGAAATTGTTTGGAATTTTAAACTGAAATAACATAACTCCAAATACCCCCTCTAAAAAAAACGAAAGATGATACGACAAATGGTGAGGCTGCAAGGGAAGAACTCACTACTACTTTGTAAGGCTATTCTGAAGTTTCTTGAAATATATTCATTGTTAACTTCTTGACTTGAAATTTTGCCATCACACCATGGGATTTTTATTTACATAGCTCTTTACTCAAGGTTCCCCGTGCATTGCTTACACATATGATAGAAATAATTCACTAATATATTAAATTATTAATTTTTATTTTACTAGTTACTCAACCAATTTATGAACTAGCAGGACAGTCAAGTGAAGATTGCTTAGAAGAGCATCCTGTTTTTAACAAATGGGTGGAGGAAAATCTTCCGTCTCAACATCAAAAGTATGCAGTATGTTGTTTGCTTCGATCGAAAATTATAAACTATACTTCATGATATGATAATAATAGAATTAGCATGAAAAGCAATTTTGGAACAAATTCCAGACAAAATGTTTTTCGAAAATGTACAATTGTGTGCTTATTTGCTGAAACTTTCGCTAAGAGGTAATTTTCTTTTATTTCAAATACATAAAATTTCCCATCCTGAGGGAAAAGTTTAAACAAATCAACAAAGTCGATTTGAATGCATTGAAAGCGCAAAAAAATAAACTACCCGCGAAAATATCCACGTATACAGTTTACGTATACAACTTTAGAAATTGTTAGTGTAGAAATCGTTTTATTACAGGTTCCTTAACGTATCATGGCCGTTCGTTGTAAAAACGAAGACATGGAACTCAATACAGTTTGCTCTTGAACTATCGTAAAACCGCATGATCACACTTTGCATAATACATAAAATATGAGCTTTGATATTTGGTGCTTTAAGTGAAATAAGTAAATCGTAAACTAAAGTTTAATGGGCTAAGTTCTGCTTACCACTTGATGCTTTCGTTTTCCCGTTCGTTCCATTCACTGTAGTCCCCACTATATGAGCTAAAACGGAAACTGTTTCCAAAAATAATAAAGCGTAAATCTTTAAATAAATATAATCCACTCGTTTAGTGCATTAATACATTTTTACACTATTCATTTACGTACATGCCACATTATAGGTAAGTGCCTGAAATTTATATTCCAAAAGGAATTCTAATCATAATGAACAAAGCACGAAATATAAAAAAAGAGAATGAATGAGTACAACCATGTACACTGTGTACACTCCTTTACGCATCTCCATAGAAATATTGCCTGATTGCATGTCACATACTATCCGATATCTTAACTCAAAAGATTTCTTATCTAATTCAGAAAACTCAAATAATCTTTGTAGATATACATCCGAATATTCATATGTATGTATGGCATTTACTTCTCTGCAGATCAAAAGGGGTTTACTGGATTTCCATTGAACGGCGACATGACAACGGTTTATACGAAACTAAAAGCATGTCTAACATCCGTGCAGTACAGTCTGCCTTCGAGGGTACCAAGATAGTCAATAGTAAAACTTTGAAAAAGCTTGCTGAAAAGCATTCATTGACCAATGGGAAATGGATGTTCCATGGAGAAACGGGAAACGAAATCGATCGACTCTGGAGAACTGTTGCAGATGGTGTAATAAGGGGAATAATTCCTACTTTTTCTGCAAAAGTTAGTGCTGCTGGTAAAGAGAATGAAAACCACGTAATTTGTATTTACAATAACAACTTCCAAAATGAAGCAGATGTTTTTGCTTTAAGAGATGGCATCAGGAATGCTAGGATTGACAATCCATTGAAGTACAAGGCAAATATATATACGCATTTGGGAATATGTCGCCAAAACAAATGGGGGATAGATCCAGTCCTGCATCGAGGTAGGCTATGTATTTTATATTCAGTCATTTATTATGTAAAATCTAAATAATGTTTTTTGGTTCCAACTTCCATCACCAGCGATGGGCATTTATTCAAATTACTGTTACAGACCGTTCCACTCTCATTCTAATTAATTTTCGATGGTTAACGATATTTTGGTCCTTTTTTAGAAAGATTATATCTAGAAAACGCCTTTCTTATATTTTTTGATTTTTGAAAGAGGTTAGATTATTTGCTTAAAATTAACCGTTATTTGGTATAAAAATCATCGTTTAATTACATTAAAGTATACAATATTATAACAATCATGTGTGCCCGTGACTAATATGGAATAACAGTTCCACCTGTCATGAACTATTGCTATTAAGTTTGCATATGGAGGTTAATGTTAATCAAAGATCAGATCAATTGACCGATAAAAGGAGAAAAAGTGATCGAATTCCTATTTCATTCGATCAGAATTTACTGAAAAAGTATTAACACACGTTATTCAAGCTCAAATGCTATGTCATCATGGCTCATCATCGCAAAAAATAGTCTCAACCTATACTATGTTTGAATCCTATCATGTAGAACCCAGCGGTTAGATAAATATAGCAAAGACAAATACTTTGATAGATGAAATTGTCAACACATGTCAAATTGATCATTTGATACGACATAGACACTTTCTTCATAGAATAGTTTTTTTTTTTCTTTTTCTTTTTCTTTCAATGAACACGACTATTTAGATATGTAAGATCTTCGAAAATCATTTTAGTTTAGTACACATGGCAATTTCATTTATGACAAAAACAAACTTATCTTTGTTTAGTATTGCATTGTATTTTTTAAAAGGATATATATTTTTTTTAATTTTCACTAGAGAACTTTGACTGTAAAAACTGGGACATAATTTGTTGACGAGATTTGACACTGAAAAAAAAACTTATCTTTGTTTAGTATTGCATTGAATTGTTTAAAAGGAGATATATTTTTTTTAATTTTCACTAGAGAACTTTGACTGTAAAAACTTGGACATAATATGTTGACGGGCTTTGACCCTGACTGACTAATGACGATAATATACATCTTTACATTACCAATTCTTGGGAATAGTATACTCAAAATATATTATGTCCTAGCCAATTCGAAACAGTTTTAAAAATATAATGACTGGAAATTTTCTTGTATATAATAACAATACTGTAAAAACATTTAGCTATTTCCGAAATGATAAAATAAACAATTATACAGAAACTTAAGTTTTTTAAAACTGTACAGAATAAGGCAATTGCGATTATAATTTTCTTTCTTTTTTTCTATTTTATTATCACTAACAATAAAACGAACTTTCACTTAAAAAATACTCAAATGTGTTATTTTTACAAACAAATTTAAAAAAAAAAACAGTGTTTTATTCGTTAAATCTTAAAAAAAGTATAATTTCATTCAATATTTGTTTTGTTGATCACAAATTGTTTTTGCTAATTGTTTTTTTATTTTAATAATCATGCATTTGATTACTGGTCAAAGGTATTTGTGTTTTAATATATTTTTTAGCAATGAATGAGTTGTCTTTTATTTTTGTCTAATACAATATTGACTCTTTGATTATGTATGTTCAGCGAATAGTATTCCTTCTTTGTTTTGATCATGTTAATAATGTAGAACTATTTAATTGATTCCAAAATTATAAAATAAACAACAAGACAGAAATTAAAAGTTTATATTAGAACAAAAAACGGCAATTGCAAATATTATTTTTTTCTTTTTTTGGTTTTATTTTCTTACTATTAACAGAGATGTACAATCAAGGAAACAATTTCAAAATATATAATATCACCTTTTGTCCTGTGACTTAATGTCCAACACTTTGTGTGGGTTTTTTTTCAAGAAATATATTCTTCTGTAAAATTGTTTTTATTGAGGAAACAAGTTATACTAGATAAAAGTTATCCCTGTCCATTTCATAAAATTTCATAAAAACATGAATATGTTTCGTTACAGAAGTGTGCCTACATGCAATGGGGTAATAGATAAGAACGGCGGCTTTGGTGGCCATAAATCACTGACCATTTCACAACGCTTTAAATTACTTCACAACCTGGAAATGTCTCTTTAATTCGAAATGACACATTTTATTTTGTTTTGTTTTAAACTTAAAAATAAAACGTTATTTACGATCGTTTGGAATATTCGGTAAATTTACATAGCCGTTGACATCTTTCTGTTCAAATCTTCCAAAGTTTCGCTAAATCTCGTTGAACAAGTAATAAGGTCACATCATAAGGACAAACCTACGAGATTCTAATCCTGTTAGTATAATAGTCCCAGGTAAAAGTCATAACATAATAAGTTTAAATGCAGATAACAATGAAATTTACTTCAAGTTTAATAGTTTCATGCATAATTGAGAAAACAAATATGCTTTTCAGACGAAAGTAGACAGTTTGAATCATTATATGACTCATCATACGACAAAGAAGCTAGCAAATCAGCTGTAAGTATAAATGTAGCTAATTGTTTTGTTATACCAATCAAGCAATCAAAACTAAAATTTACAAGGCAAGTGTTTTAATGTGTTAACACAATACCACGTGAGTATTGTAATGTATGGTTTTATACTATATTGTCTAAAAGTGTCTGAGATCAAACTACCAATACAGACACGATTCATGTCTATGCTTGCTATATGTACTAAATATATTCTGTTTCAAACTTTTGACAAGAAATTAGAAGTTTACCAAACACATTACATGAAGGAATAGATGCTAAAAAGACTCTTTCCATTATTAGGAAATCTCTATTTTTAACCACAAACCATATCGTAGCACACATAGTCTCATATTTCTTTGAATTGTATTTCTGGTATTTGTTGAAAACATATCAGAAATATGGTAACCCGTTACAATGTTAACGGGTGTCTTTGGATTTCAATTTGTATGAATATTGTACAATTTGTTTATTAAAGTAAAACATTTATTTGGTAATATAAAATAAGAAATTAGTTCTTATAAAATGCAGGGGAAAGAAAAGGTGTCGACACTGATTGGTATAAAGGATTTTTATTGATTTCAAGAAGGCAAATTATAGGCATTTTGCATGAACTGATTAAACACTATTGCTTCTGCACCCATTTATATTGAGATTATCAATGTATAGAAGGGTAACACAAATACTGGAAATTATAATAGGAAGGCATATTTGAACTGTTGCTCAGATAAGAAGACCGTATTTTTGTACTACCAAACTTCCTGGAACCAGTGTGCTCTAATATCCAAATAAAAGTATTTCATGCAATGATTGTCACTTTATTCTATCTTTAAACAAAATAGTAATAAATGCTTGACAATGCAGAATTTAACAACACAGAAGAATTAGGGATTTCAATTTGTGTTTTTATTCTTAACAAAATGATGAACACAAGACTCAAAATGACACACAAATTAACAATTATAGGTCACCGTACGGCATTCAACAATGAGCAAAGCCCATACCGAATAGTCAGTTATAAAAGGCCCCGAAATGATAAATGTAAAACTATTCAAACGAGAAAACAAACGGCCTGATTCATGTTCAACATAATGAAAGAAAAACAAATATGATATACATCAACAAACGACAACCACTTAATTACAGGCTCCTGACTTAGATAAAGGCAACAGTAGTATACCGCTATTCGAAATTCATAAATCGATTGAGAAAAAAACAAATCCGGGTTACAAACTAAAACTGAGGGAAACACATCAAATATAAGAGGAGAAACAACGACACAACAGAAACACAAAACTAAAATGCAACACACATAGAAACGAACTTTGATATAACAATGGCCATTTTCCTGACTTGGTACAGGACATTTTAAGAAAAAAATGGTGGGTTGAACCTGGTTGTGTGGCTAGCCAAACCTCCCGCTTTGATGGCAACGTTAAATATAAAATTAAAATTACAAGATTACATGAGAGAACTACAATACAAATAATTGGGAGAACATACAGGACAGAGACACACACAAATAATAGCTTCAAAAGGTACCAGGCTTATAATTTAATACGCCAGACAGGCACATACAGAATGTGGAGGGGTTACATGTTAGCAGGCGCCCAACATTCCCCTTAATTTGGGACAGTTGTGTAACAATACAAAATATGAACAAACTATAAAAAACAGTTGAAAAATGCTTAAGGTGTCAGACCACCAATTACTCCCTCCAAATTAGAATTTGACAGATAATATAGCCTAATGTAAACAGTGCATAAACTCTCCGCAATCCCATTTATTGTCTCAAATGAAAGTTTTCTACCTTAAATTATATTGACTGATAGTAAGTAAAAACAGTTTAATGACCATAACTGCGCTTTTGATCAATTAATAGTCCCATTACTGAAACCTGGTGAAAAAGGGGGGTCATTATTTCTTGACTCTTCAAAACCTTGGATTTTTTACTAAACTCATTGTACAAATAGTGGAAAGTCTTTAAAGCAGTAGGACAAACGAGAAAAAATCAACCAAACCTGATCTTGACATTGAAAGTTTATGTTCCTGTAGTCCAAAATGAAATTTTCATGTATGTTCTATTAAAGTTATACATTACGGTCATTTTAAATTGAGCTGTGAATATTGTAATTTAAGTCGCATTATGCTCAGATAGGATTGTTTTTTTAATACAAATTGACCAAGGATTAAGAATAAAGCACAACAAAAGATTTCTGATCAACTTCTTTTGCTCTTTAGGTGTCAGACCATCAATTACTCCCTCCAATTTAGAACGTATGTAAAAGTAGGCCTACTCGGACAAAAAATAGTGCATTTGATGTCATTGTTTACTTAAACTAACCAACAAATTTGCAAAAATGAAACTTTTGGTGAAAGAGGAATATATTTAGACCATTTTGAGCAAAAATTTACTTGTCTATGAGTTTGCATTAAACATTGATGATTAATGCGCTCCATAGTATACTAATTTAAAATTTCCAGAAAACCAGGCGTTATTTTTAGGGGTACCTCAGTTCGGAAGGTCTCTTCTTTCTTATAAGATTTTAAAGGTATGTTGAAAATTGGCATGTAGAAAGGTGATACCTGTACGATTCAGGATATACCTGTTTTCTATGAAGTTAAACTTAAGGTAAAATATTTAGAAAGCTGTGAAAATTGCAAAATTTGGTTGAACAGATAGGGATTTTTAATTGGTGGTCTGACACCTTAACTCATCAGATAGATACAAAGCAAAAACAAGTAACAAAAACACAGAATGGACGTAGCAGGGTACTTATACATCCCCAATGTCATTTATGACATTTGACCATGGTTCAAATTAAATGTCATTAAATTTTTAATATTTTCACATCATATTCATTTCATATATAATAATGTTTTTGGTTAATCATCAGTATTAACAACATGGACACATTTCTACATTAAAAAGGAAAATGGCACATTTTGGTTCCAAAAGCAGCCATCCTAGCATACTGAATCCAAAACATGTTGATAAGAAACATTTTGTGCATACAAAATATACATATAATTTGCCTTCACAAATAGAATGAAAATTACCCTTGACTGTTTTGTTTGTTAAGTATCATATTTCTGAAACATATAAAGAAATACCATTCAGTGAAATTTGGTTTTGCCTCAGAATAACTGCAAAGTAGTATTAGTAGCATAGTAGTTTTTGCTGCTAACATCCCCAAAATGTACGGAAAGTCCATTAACTACCAATTTTTCAGGGCATTTTCCCTAGTTTTATCACCTTATTTATAGTTTCAAGAAAAAAAAGTAATAATCCGTGCTAACCCCTCTATATAAATTGTAGGAGGTTATTATAGAGAACTGCTCTTAATTTGTTTCTTTCAAGATGAAAAAAATATGAAAAGATGTTAGAAAGTGAAACAGAACTATCTTTGTCTATTTTTATTATTAATCGTTGATATTCATACGTTAAATAGGCCACACAATAGAGATTTTCCTAAAAGTTGACAAAATATCAACCACATTTAGGCATATAATACATCAAGCACAGGGTTCAACAAACTAAAGATATGAGTCAGATTAATTATTGTTATACTAACAATATTAAACATCAGCCTTGTATGTAACGGCATGTATTGTACTATCAGCTTTTCATTTTGGGCAATAATGGGCCCTTATCAAAAACCTATTTCTGATCTGTCTTATGGTTAATTGAGACAGTACAGATCTTTAGATCATATTCAAATTTATTCTCATTCAAACAATTTATCATGCATTGTTACACACATAAAACGTAACAACGCAGTATACACTCTGCATACTCTATAAACATGATATTTGTATTATTTAGAACATAAGTATCCAATGAGCCTGTATTATCCATCTGATGTCGATGCTAAATGCCAACCCATTAAGAATGATTCATGACCCGCTGGTTTTGTGCTTTTCGACATTTATATAGTTTGTTTTCCGAGTGATGTTACTTTATCGTGCCTGCTAAAGGTAAAGTTTCAGATATAAGTGTTATATATGATCACGGAAAATAACATGTGTATTTTAGTATCATTACGAAAAAAGACTCAATTTTGTGTTTGTGGGTGTGTTTGTGTGAGCAGATGAGTTAATGGTAACTGCATCATTTGATTGAAATTTAGATTAACAAACATAAAAACTACAGGTATTTTGATTTACAAATTATGTTTTATTGAACATTTGCAGGTAGCTGGAATCACATTGAAAAGAAAGGACTCTCCTATACTCTCTATTTCTGGGCCAAGGGAGAAGTGTCACTATCCAATAACGCTCGGCACCAAAGCGATTTCACCTATACTTAGACACGGGAAAGACCATGACGATGTCAGAATATGCATTGTATTCCACGATGGGAACACTATTATGAGAGGGGTTTCTTTCGGGGATGCAGCCCGAAAATTTAAAAGAGAGTTACAAATAGGTTGCACATACAAATTTCGGTATTACCAAATTCAAGACAGTAAGAAAGAGCACAGCAACACCAAATATGAGATAACTCTTCGGGAAAATACTACCATCAAGACGATAGAAAAAGGGTATAATGAGATACCAAAAGTGAAAGGAAAGAAGATATCAGAAATTAATGAAATATATAAGAACTTGTTGGTTTCAACATTGAAAGTGAGAATTAGTAAAATTGGGGAGTTGTTTAGACCAAAAAAAAAATTTCTTCGAGAAGTATTCGTTAAAGATGAAACAGGAGAAATGAAGATGTTGATGTGGTCATATAAGAAAGCTCAGTTTCTTCATAGTGTTGGCGATCATGTCATACTGAGATATATGACCGTGAAGTACGATGACCAACATTGTTTCCTACTCAAATCTGATAACACGAGAATTGTAAGATGTCAGGCAAAGTAAAATGAAGCATGTTTAGACAATAACTACACATGCGTACACACATAAAAAAACATAACTATTATGAAGTTTAGAATACCATTTTTATTTGCATATTTGGATAGCTAAAGTTGACTCTACTTTCGTGCTGAACTTTTACTATGATTTAAGGAGCATTGGTTTTGAATGTGAACTTTCTTTATGAAATTAAAACTTCTTCTTTTTATGCTTTTTAATTGATATGTTATTTTTTTTTATATTGAAACATCAATAAGTAGGGAACAACAACAAATCTCAGGGTTGTCACAATTGTACTGACTGATATCAAGAAAAGGGGTAGTGCTATCAACATATGGCCGACATCAGTATTGGTAAATTCTAGCAAGTACTCTTTTGGCAGGTTTTGGCTGAAAATAACCACAGTTATTACGACAGTTTAAAGAAGCAGTTGTTGAGACTTTCACATTTATACAATTTTGTTTTTGAAATTAATACCAACCATTGGTTAGTTCAGATTGGTTTTAGTAGAATAAAGCATAGCATTTACATTGTCACTGTTCGACACAACAGGTGCAGTATAGCCAAATACCAAAAGAAAGTTGAACTGTTTTAGTTGAGTAAAGCATAGCTTTAACATTGTCACTGTTTGAAGCAACATGTAAAATTGAGAATGGAAATGGGGAATGTGTCAAAGAGACAACAACCCGACCATAGAACAGACAACAGCAGAAGGTCACCAACAGGTCTTCAATGCAGCGAGAAATTAAATTCCCGCACCCGGAGGCGTCCTTCAGCTGGCCCCTAAACAAATATATATACTAGTTCAGTAATAATGAATGTGCATTAGCGCCAACTACCAGAAGAAGGTTGAACTGTTTTAGTTGACTGAAACAAAAATCTCTAATTCACCTTTATCTATAGAAATTATCCGAGTCAAGCAATTTTCTAGTACTGAACATTTTTGCAGGTCACGGTAGCTACATGCAAACATTGAAATAAGAAAATTCCGAACTCCAAGGAAACTAGCAAAGCAGAAAGTCCCTTATCAAATGGCAAAATCAAAAGCTCAAAACACATAAAACGAATGAAAAACAACTGTCATATTTCGGACTTGGTACAGGCATTTCCTTATGTAGACAATGGTAGATTAAGAGTATTATCTTGCTAAGTAGTGAAAATCTTGACAGTTCAATATATTCAACACTTAATGATATGAGTTTAGGGATGGAAAACTGATATTTAACATTTTACTATATCAGGGGGAAAGCCACAACTGAGAAGGCTAACCTCTATTGCGCACTATGTGGTCTTACGGCATGAAAAGTAAAATATAAATGGTAGGGATGTGAGTCTGAACTGTGTTCAAGATATTAAACTATTTTAGATATGAAAAAGACGAAACATGTTCCCCTAGAACTAAAACTATACTCTCTACAAAGGTCTGATCAAGGCAAACGAGAAAAGAAATGGTTCAAATAGGAATCTGAACCATTTCAAGGAGATTTCACAATTAATTATATAACGCGGGTCGTGCATTAACCCTGCTTGGGCCAAATTCTAAGGTGCTTAGAAAAGCTCACAACATTGCAAAGATACATAAACATATTTAAAAGTTGCTTAAATCATTTTAACCTGTTTGTCACTTGTTAAGTTCAGGGGTTAACTTTTATATTATGAGCATTGTCTTGATGGGGAGGGGGGGGGGGGGGGAGAGGGGGGAACCAATATACTAATTACCATATCCTTGTGATAAAGGATAGAAAGGATGAATTCCAGACACGAAAATGTCCTGACATCATCTTTATTACCCGAGGTCAAAGGACTACAACAAATGAAGATCTAGAGAAAAAGTATCACATCGGTCAATAGTCATGATAGTAATAAACTTTCATAGCAAATTTTATAAGTCAATGTCAAAGAATACAACTTTTTAGGCATCGAAAAGGTAGTAATATAATTTCCTTACTATAAGGAGAAAGAATGCTGCATAAGTGGATACAGTTTGCCCTGGGACATACTGACTTTTCATAATTTGTCTGCAAGGATTCCAAAAAATTAATGTGAATAAAGCCAGGTACTCTTTAAAACTTCTGTAGCGTTCCCTCGACATGGGTCAAACAACAATGTTACTCTTTTTGTGTATTTGACAGTATAATGGTAAACACGACATAGTTTATAATCGTATGATGCCAATCTTAATACATTCTTCGTGGGTTTTGACATAATCTTCATCAAATAAGCTTAGGACAAAGTTTTGGAAGCCAAATCTGTAAAACCTACTAGCTAATCCAAAACAAATTGACCAGTTGGTAAACAAAAAAAACACAAACCTTCCGAAGGTCAAGCTAACCAGATAGAGTCACAACCTTACTTTAAGTGCAATTGCATACTATTTCAACGTTTAATTTACAATGAAAATGTATAAACCTACAATTAAAATACTGGTTACTTTTTGGACGATATTCTATTGGACCTGCAAGTCGATAATATAAAATATACAATAAGAATTATAGCTTGTTTTCCCATAACTATTTGTGTCGTTAGGTTGCTGTCTCATACATGTTTACCTTTCATCACCTTTAATTCATATACTAATATAAGAAAGCACCCCTCTGGACACTCATACGAGTCAGAGATAATCTCGACCAGTTAATTCACATGGTTGTTTATTTCATGGGTAAATCCATTTTTGTTTTTTAGTTTGTTGTTTTATAACATAAATCAGGCTGTTGGTTTGACTCATTTGAACCGTTTTACATTTTGTTTTGTCGGGGCCTTTTATAACTTGCTGTGCGGTATTGGTTTGGTCATTGTTGAACTCCGTATGGCGAATTTAATTGCTTACATCTATGTCATTCGGTCTCTGATGGATAGTTGTGTCATTGGCAATACTACCACATCTCCATTTTGTATCAAGGAAATTCAGGCACTTAAATACTACGGCGATCAAGTTATACGCAAATTTATTGCTTCGAATTTTGTATAGTCTTGCCTTCTTCATAAAGATTATAACATTTGAATATTGGAATCTAGATGACAGATATTATGAATACAAATGTCATATTTTAATTAATATATCCATTACATGTTATAGAAAAACACATCAAATATTTTCGAACATTTAATTTTAATATCTCAAGTTTAAATATTCCTTCGCAAAGTAGTAGGGCTATCAAAACCTAAATAAAATAGTATTTGTGGACCAAACTTTAGGATAATAAATTTTGTCGAAAATAAAATATAAAATAAATACAATAAAATATTTGTACGAATTTCAAGCCTTAAACCATGGAAAATCTACTTAGAAAATGGAACACTCTTATGTATACAAATTATTCATGTTGTTCTAAATCATCCTAAAATTTTATATTTCGGCAAATCAAGGCTATTACTTTTTTTTAAATATATTAACAGCCCTCAAATTAATTATGAACTATTGATAAACACATTTTCAAAGCTTTATTCAAGGTTTCATAGGTAAAATAACCATTCTATATGCATAAAAAAATATTTTAAAAGGATTTATACATGTATAAAAACACCTGAAAAGTTACAACGCAATTTTGAAAGCAATCACATGATTTCTCGATTATAGATTTACAAATGAAAACTTTTGCAATATTTACATTAGCCAAAGTATGCTAGTTTTCGTGCTTCAAAAATATAAAATTAAGGAGATAAGTACGTTTATAATCGGGATACAATCACCTTATAATAACAAAAAGCATACTTACGACAAAATTCTGGTGACATGCAAACTTAATTTCCAACCTACTATATACAAGTCAAATTAATATTCTTTGAAATATAAAAACAAATTCACAACTAGGGTTACAAATTTTAACTACAAAATTGTTGTATCTAAACATGTTTTGACATACAGAATACTTTGATACTTGTAGTGCACATATGCTTTGAAGCAAATTTAAGCCAGTAACATGAATTGATCAATAAAATAATTAAAAAAATATGCTTTCTTGAAATCTAAATATAATTTCAAAATAAGTTCGTACCCTTCAAAACGAAGCTTTTTACCCCCCTTGAAACCGTTTGGGTAGTAAACATACAAACAGCTGTTAACTTCTATGTCATTTGGTCTCTGGTGGAGAGTAGTCTCATTGGCAACTTTACCACATCTTACTGTTATAAATAAAACGAATTTCCTTTCCACTTTCATTGTGTCTAACTTTCTTGGCCATTGAAACTTATTTCTGTCTTAATGTTCGTTTACATCATCAATTAAAACATCCCCTAGTATCCAGTTATTATCTACCACTAGAACTTTTGATTGTTTTGCGTTAAACTTATGGTCCATTTTGAAACAAATTCAAATTCACTGGCAACATTTAACAGTGTTTGTAATTCTTTAACACTCTTAATTTCATCTGTATCTAAAATTCAAAATATAAATTAGTCGTTTGTTCTGTAATACATACTAACCATATAAATTAAATGACACACATCACATTTCATATTGAGAAAGAAAGTGAAAATTATAGGATATTTATTAAAAATGGTAAGGACCTTAATTTGAACTTTAGTGGATAGTTGTCTGATTGGCAGTCATACCACATCTCCTTGTTTTTATATTGTTTACAACTGGTAATCACTTATATATGTATTAAAATATAAAATCACAAAAAAGCAACATACAAAAAGCAAAAGTGTCGGACAAAAAGCAAAAGCGGAAAAAAGCAAATTGCGGACAAAAAGCACCGTATGAAGCGACGATAAAAAAATTCAAAAATATTTCCTACTTAACTATCTTTAATTTGTCGCTGTGATATAGCCTTTTTCTGCCGATATGGCGTAAAGCAATCACCAATCAATAAATGAATCTTCAATCTGGATAATCTTCTGAAGTCACTTGATACCTAATTGGGTTTCCTCAGTTTTGCTCTTTAAAAAAGAATAAATTTAAACTATCTGTATTCATAATTAACCAAGCTTTAATTTGAAAAACAAAGTCGCTGTTTTTTCAACGACTTCTTTTGAAGCATAATTTACTCATTCCTTTTTTGAAAATAACAAGCTTTCTAAAAGACTATTAAATTGATAGTATATAAATATCGAAATTTAAAAAATCAGAACAGAATTAAAGGTACGTGTCCTTGTCTTTGAGATATAGTCAATTGAAATTTGGCGGTAAATGATTCTCTCTATAGGTTTTTCATACATTTAACATTGGCACCTTTTTCTTCAAAAACTGTGAAAAAAAATAACAAGGATTTTATGA